AGATCTTCAGTCCAATGCATTTGATCAGTTGACTGCTTTCCGGCAATAGCATCATCAAGGGGTGCCAGGAAAGATGAACAGTTGGGAATAACTCGTGCCAGCACTTTGTATGTCCCTACATAGGACCGGAGTCCTTTCACTTTCTCAGGAGGAGCACAAGCAGACAATGTAGAGATCCGATGAGGGCTTGCAGAGATCGTACCGTTTCTCCAGATCCAACCGAGGATGGTTGTTGATGTGGGTACAATAATGGTCTTCGATGCAGAGAGATTGAGACTGTTCTTGTGAAGAGTCTCCAGCAGAGGTTTCCAATTGTTGTATAGATCATCAAGTGAATTACCACCACAATACAGGTCATCAGCAAGTTTTACTACCACCCCTTCTTCAAGTAGGTCACCAAGTACACGGCACATCAACTCCTCCAAAGCAGTCTCGGATCCAGGCATGCCCATTGCAGATCTTGCATACATTCGTACACCTCTGAAAGGGGTTGCTACACCACAGAACTTCATGGAGTCACGAGCTAAAGGTATCTGGTAGGAGGCGTTGGTGAGATCCGTGGAAATGAGGAATCGCCACTGAGCAATCTGTCGTAGAGTGGAATCAACATCTGGGAGAAGTGATGGTTTGGGCTATGAATATCGACCGACATCTGCGAAAGCTGTAACTAAGTGAAAGCCGCCCTGAGGTTTCTTCACAAGAAAGGATGGGTTAAGGTACTCAGCAGTTGCCCCAACATCTTCGGGTCGAACAAACACTCCTTTAGCTTCAAGATCGTTGAACTTGGATTGCAACCCTTCAAGTTTATCTCTGGCATACTGGGGTACTCTACCTTTCCTTTGGGGAGGCAACACAGGGCCCATGTTGACTGCAGCATATACAGGACCAGAAGCTCCATTATAACCTTTGAAGTTGGGATCAAAGACATCGTCATACTCATCAAGTAAGGTTCTGAACTTCTGCAACGTATCTGGGGGTAGGGCATGATCCGGATCCAACTTAACAGCTTGAGAGAAACCACATTGCTGCTTCTTCTGGAGTGACACATTTTGGCTAGTGATGACAGAGTCTGTGGGTGGTACTTTGTCGGGGGCATCTACGACATGTCTCACCTGGCAGAAGTGTGCATGTTTCAATGACAAAGGCTCATCCGTCAGGTTCGGGATGCGTATCCGTCCGCAGACACTGGGAACGATGTCAACCTCTGGCCAGTTTTGTTTCCGGATGGGAAAGTTCTCAAGCCTAGGTTCCAGGGCGAGATGGTCATCATGTGTAGTGAACTCCGGGAGGAACTTCCAGCTCGACGTAGTCTCCTGGCCAAATAGTGGTGGGACTGAGGACTTGAGCGCGTCTAACAGTGTGTTGATCAAGCTTTGACTCCTTCCCTGAATGGCTGTAATCAACGATGACACGTTCACCTCGAAAGATTTGTTGCCTAGCGGGTCTGGCATAAACATCATTCAATTCCATAAAGGGAATGCCTGCTAAAATGTCGACATCCAAATCCTCAACAACAAGACCCTCGAATGTGAATTCATCCTGGCCTCGAACGAAGACAGCACTAACTCTGAGGGGCGAAACACCATCTGCTTGCCTGGCTGACTGGGTGCTAATCTTGACGTCAAGATCCAAGTTCTTTGCCACAGATAACTTCACCATGTTCCCGGTGGCACCACTGTCCAAGGTAATGCGTGCCAAGTGATGTTGGTAAAAGGTATTGAGGCAGGGGGACTGAGATACTTGGACTCTCATCACACCGACTGGTTTCTCATACTCTTTAACGTCGCAGTCATCATCAGGGTTTTGGTCATGACTATCGTGGGAATCGTCCTCAAGGGCAAGTACGATCTGTCGAGCCTTAGCTAGATAACGTTTATCACTAGCCGGAAGGTAACTGCACTCACTCAGAAAATGGCAATCAGGTCTGTCAGCCAACTTGCACAAAGGACAAGACTTGTCAGTTTTCTTGTGAGGGAAACGGCTTGAGCGAGAGTGTTGTCGTTTGTCCTGAGTAGGGAATGACGTTGCAGTTCTCATAACTTTCATGTCTTGATTAGTCATAATTTCATCCTGAAGGGAGGACATAGCTTGAGAGATTTCAGGCTTTATGGATGCAAGGGTACGAGAACTTAGTTCAGTGCCATAGCGTTGCTTAACCAATTTGGGTAAGTCCTTATGTATGAGGCTAAGCCACGTGAGCACAATAAAGTTCTCAAGAGATGGGGATAATTCTTCATCCTCAATGATTTCTTCCCCATGGTGTGTGATATTACCCCCAGTCTTCATCAAGTTATCTTCAACAAAGGCAACCAGACGCTGGTAAAGGTCTTCAGGACGCTCATCTGGTAACAAAGAAATGTTGGCAAAGTCCAGAAAATGTGATCCAGTTTACTGAAACCCGTAATGTAAACGTATTTCCTGCCAAATGTTGCTGAGAGAGGTTGACTTCTTGACAATGGTGCTTCTAGCAATAACAGGGCAATAATTGGCGATCTGGCCAAGCATAAGTTCAAGCATTGTCACTTTCTGTTCAGAAGTACGACGAATGGCTATTTCAACATCATCTCCATTGTTTACAAAACCACGTCGAGGGTTATCACGAGTTTTCTTCGTCCAGGTCACACCATCCACCAAATAGTGTGCAAAATTCTGGTCTAGTGACAGAGTGTAATGGAGATTTTGTTTCCAGTTCTCAAAGGAATTAACTGTCTCAGATTTTGTAAGACACCATTGCTTCGGGGCTCTATGTGTATGCGCCATTTTGGACAGTTACAACGATCACACGTGCTATCCAACCAATATGCTGACTGACTGACCGTTTACGTTTTTAGTAGTTACCGGGAAGCGTAGGTCATGTAGTTAATCTATATCGCTGCCACCACGCCAATGGAGAAGGTTCCGCCCCCACGATAAACAGCCAGGACACGTGCAATCAAGTCCAAACACTTCATTATCGAAGCCAAGGCGACACACAGACAACCCGAAGAACCGAACATAAAACTGGGAAAGCGAGTTTATGTTTAAGGGCGATAACTCTAAGAGTCATTGTGTTAACTCGCTAATAACTAACTGCCAACGTGGCGTTACTGTCTGTAGGCATCGCAATGAACACGTAGCACTAACAGGCAATGCACCGAGTTTAGGTAAACTGAAAGTACATCAGCCTTGTGTGACCCAGGCAACCACAGTGGTGGGGCGTTAGCGCAGGCGCAACAAACCCAGGGAACCAGGCTGAATGTACATGTGTTGGGTATTGTAAAATGAACTGTCCAATCGTAAATAGTTTAACATAATTATCATAATTACCTTAAACACCTCAATTTGACGACAAGAGAACCTGTTTGATATTATGAAATATTTACTGTTAGGGGTAAAACATCTACCAGACTACCGGACAGGTTACTTTTGAAAATTGACCGTCCGAGATGAAAAAAGACCGTTCCGGACGGTCGGGGAGGCGGGAATTTTAAACGCTGCCTGCATCACTTCGAGCTTTCCTCCCACCTTAACCTGACACCATCACCTAATTGGAATACTGCAAGCGGCGTTAAGCCAAACTCAATCAGGACGAATCCATAAATGACATGCTTATCATACCACTCCATCACCGGTTTACCCGTGCATTTACAAACATGGATGGTTAAACGTCCTGTTGCAGCTTCAGATACACCGGTATGTCGTTCACATTCTGCACAAAGCTTGAGTTACAAAACTCGCGCACTCACTCGGGTAACAATGTAGCTTTATTCATCAAGCCGAACACTTGTTTACAACTATCACATTGTTACTAGTTTTGAAGTAGTGTCTGTGTTTTCTCTCTTGTGATTGTATGATTTCACGTCACCCATCAACTTACATCCAGATATATCCACTTTTCAAATCAACGTTCCCCCAACATGTCAGAGCTTAGCGCATCCAGGGTATATCCACATTTCAAATCTATGCTCCACTACTCTGTCATGGCGTTTAGGGTATCCAGAGTTTATCCACATTTTTAATCCATGGGCGTCTACAATGTCAAGGAACTTGTACTTTAACTGGTCATCATTACGTCAACACGATCGTCAGCAGGTCACGAATATGATCGGGGCCGTCAAAACATCGCAAACCACACTCGAGCTATCATCTCTAAAAATTCCTGCCTCGTCATGTACAGTTTGTTTCTTTCCGTTACGGGGTTCGATTCCCGACATGGGTACAATTTGTGAAGCTCATTTCTGGTGTCCCCCGCCGTGATATTGCTGGAATATTGCTAAAACGGCGTAAAACCATACTCACTCACTCACTTTCTGTTACGCTTAGATTAAATCAACGATTAACCTTTGATGTTGTTAACCTCTTTCACGCATATTCTTATGAAGTGGTTGTTAATCCTTACTATGCAAGTCTGTAATACGTTGTCGTACGCCACTATTGCTTGACAACTGTGAAAGCATCTGTATCAACACGTCGCATCATAATAGAAGAAATGATTTGTCATCCGTAAAATATCTAACCATCATTGTCAGTCTATCATTCAGTGTAACAGCTGGATAGTCAAGAAATAGTTCTGCATTGTAGTGTAGTTACAGTGTAACTAACGGCTACGTGTTATTAACCTCGTTTGGGATACAACGTAATATATTTTTCATTCATTCATTTTTGAACGAACGACTTGTATTGTTGTGTCTTAATTTAAATCGGGTACGGCGCTGTTTGTACACCTGTTCTTGCAATAGGAACACAGCAGAAGGAGGATTGTCATAATAGTCATATGAACGATCGTTGTGATATCCCTACTGCATTAGCAGAACTCATAAAACACGGGTACGGTGTGGGGTATTCTCGGGACGTGGACACCCTGTGTCGTGTAAAAACAAAGTCCAGAAAAAAGTATCAACTTCGTGCGAATGTGTTACTGAGCTCATTAACGCCAGACATTAGACAAAGTTTGTGATTACAAGACTTCGGGCAATACTAAATTGTGAAATTATAAGGAAAAGAAACAAACACAAAGGCACTAAGGTTCAATCTGTTCTGTTCCTGGTGGCCTCGTATCTTTCTTGCAGGTTGGAGTATTTTATTATTTAACATCGACAAACCAAAGATCGGGGTCGTTGAGGGTGTGGTTGACAGTAGATACAATTGATTTACAATCCATAGCGAAATTGATGTATGATTGACCTCATTTTGCCAGAATTATATCGTACAATTTCTTGACACCGATAAACGTTTGAGTAAATTTACTCACCTATCGGGGTATACTCACCTATCGGGGTATACTTATCGGAGTGAACATATTTTATGTTAATCCCTTACGGAAACAACAGACGACATCAATGATACACCGTCTGTCCACGTCCTGCGAATGCAAAATTTCAGGTTGTCCTGAGAATGAATCAATGACGGTACATGTGTGTTATATACGCGGAACTGCTTTCACAAGAAATGGTTTCGGAGAGAAAACTATTCCACACACTGGGATGAGGGACGGTACAGCGTCAGGCACACTCACAAACCGGTACCTCTGGACCATCCCTGCGATGAACAGAAACAGCTCCATGCGGGCCAGGGACTCGCCCAGACAAGCTCGGCGACCTGTGAAGAACACGAAAACGATAATAAAAACACCAGCACCAATAATGAAACATTGCCTTCTCGTATTCTCAGAGTACACCCAAGACCAGAATCTTATACATTTGTATGCGATTGTCCGTCAAGAGATTGGAATTTACCAAACCTAAGTGAACAAGAACAGTGGGGATTCGGACAACAAGGTACTTGGGTACGTGACATTTCGCAGTCGATGTCCGCATGCTTGCATATCCAGCCCTATAGATATCGCTTCACTGTAACTGGAGTCTTCGAACATGTAACAAAGCTAGCTCACCTAGTGAGAAAGGTATGTACTCGTCCTTCTTAACGAACCGGCCATCTTCATCCAGAAAACGTTGCGGCCGGAAGTTGTAGGGATCTCCCCACAATGCTTCGTCGTGCAGCACGGAGTCCAGGATTGGCAGAATCATCACGTCAGCGGGAAACGTGTACTCCTGGAAGTGAAAGTCCCGGGACACAGCGTGGGGGACGCCAGTGGGGACGATATTGGCATAACGCGCCAGCTCAGTGATCGTTGCTTCCACGTAGGGAAGGTTGGGTATGTCCGCCATTGATGGTTTTCTGCTCGAACCAATGTTTTCCTCAATCTCTCTGAAACATTTGTCTTGGACGTCCGGGTAGTTGAGGAACAATGCCAAGGCCCAGCGGATGAGCGTTGCTGTCGTCTCCGAGCCGGCTCCAAATAGATCAAGAACCGACGCCTGCAGATCAGGAACTGCAAGTACAAGGGATACATGTACATGTCTAGATTCGTTACCCGAGTCATTAAAAGTGCAAAGCCCTTACTCAATATCGATCTATTTCAGTGAACCAGATTTACGGGGTTAACGAATTTAAGGTTATGTCCTTTGTATAAGAGGAAACGTTTCCCAAAGAAAGTTCCGGAATTTCATATTTTGTACCACGACATGGTGAAGGTGATATTGTGGCTTACTGGAACTGTACATGATACTGTGACGACCTGCACATTATACTGTGACGACCTGCACATTATACGATGATGAAGTGCACATGATACCGTGACGTACTGCTCATGGTAGTACCCTCTCCTTCATGATGTCGCATCTCTTTTATATATGCTGAGGTGAAGTCGTGTATGTTGTCCTCGTCGTAGCAGTCCATATGGTCATTGATCATGGGATGTATAAACTCGCGTTCTGTGAACGCCAGATTGTCCAAAATCTTCTTAAACTTGAAGATGTCCCCTGGCAAATATCGGACTACAGGGAAGATGTTGAGGATACTAGCTGAGCCAAAGCTGGCGACATTCTCCTCCATACAGTTGAGCACCTTCAGAAAAAGGGGATCATTGTAATCATACCTCCTTCCAAACACAACCGAGCTGATGACGTTTGCCACCGCAGTGAACACCATCCTCTTGCAGTCAAAACCCGAACCCCCTTCCTTTTCAATGGACGCCAGGACGTGTGACACCTCCTGGTTGACCTTGGTCTCGAGCAACTTTGACCTTGATGCCAACTCCTTCAGAGTTCTCACTGCAAACCTACGGTGTTCACGCCAGGTGGCGCCAGATGTACCGACAATACCTGAAAAGAGGAGCACAGTGGTACTTAGTGTGTATACTACCAACATGCACAGTCCTACAAATTTCGACAAGGATGGATAATTCTACCATGAAATACTTCAAAATCAGGAAGTCAAAACATCACTCTATTCCATGATCTTTAAAAATCCATGCACATTCATATGTAGTGCTATACTGTACTATACTGTACTGGGTGCCGTTTCACTAACCGATCTCAGCCCTACGCCAATCGTAAACCCCTAAAATCCCAATCTTAGCGTGACGTTACGATCGGCATACCGTTCCACCAACCAATCTTACCCAAGTCAATCGTAAAGTTAAGATTCAAAGTCTAAGCTGCTCATGACCAACTTAGGATAGCTAAAATCAATCGTAGAGAAACCAAAATGCTGGCTTTCCTATTCTATGTGAAAAATAAGAGCAAGCATTTCACCGTGAGCGTCCCCTAAAATCCCCCAGGAAATGAATTTGTATATTTCTGTGATGTAAACAAACATTGCACTGAAGCCTTACAAATGTCAGGCCAGTCTGACCACTGTCGTCATGGGAACACAACCGAGCGAGTCGGTGTAACACATTTTTACAACAATATTGCAACGTCATGGTTAAGAATAGGGACGGGTCATGAAGTGAACAGTGTTCTGAAAAAAGATACAAATATGTTTGATTTCACGCGCTTATTTGGTGGGGGATTCTAAAGGCAGGCCGCGCGTGTTATTCAAGACCACTGACAGATTCTAGATACGTTATAGAGGATGCCTCGTCACGCTCGTCACGTTTATTCTGATTGACAAGGTTCAGGCACATAATAAAAGCTCTGACACAATTGACATTTTTAAGTCCAGACTTAAAACCTGTTCTCAGTATATTACTTATAATCTCGGCTGTAAATACTCTCATGTAAATTATCTGTACATAGCGCTTTGAGCATGCCCCAGGATGTGGAATAGGCGCACTATAAATATGCATTTATTATTATAATATTATGCCTGATACCCAGCGTTCACACACATTTGCACCTGAAACCAAGGTGCTCACTACCCTAATATTTTGCTGTAGGTTTTTTCTCCACGTTTACACTTGGTTGGAAAAATACCCATGAAGGCCCGGATTAGAATATTGAACTTCAATAACCAATGCTTGTCGTAAGAGGCCACTAACGGGATCGGGTGGTCAGGCTTGCTGACTTGGTTGACACATGTCATCGGTTCCCAACTGCGCAGATCGATGCTCATGCTGTTGATCACTGGATTGTCTGGTCCAGACTCGATTATTTATAGCTAAGATACATAGCGTTCACTAACATGAACGCTCATGTTAGTGAACGCTATGCATCTTAAGGGTAAATTATCTTGTTTACAGGCTTGTATAAACCTGAAATCGTGACAATTGTTGTGGAAAATGAAAGCTATATGTTCTCACAATCTACTGTCATTTAATTTTGTCTCCTGCTTTGCCTAGTTTCGAGTTACAACTTGTTTTCATAGACGATTCTGTCAAAATCGATTGGTGTCGTTAGGCCCTATTTGTATAATGACTGATCCAAATTGATCCCATTTCTGTGTTTTTTACCTCGATATTTAATCATGTCATGTAAAAATCTGTTTGTATTCTCAAAACAGTGTCGGCCCATAAGTTTTCACATGCAATACAGCAATTAATACTCCTTGTTGTAACCCGTGTTAGGTGGTATAAACCTACACATGTTATTTGTCATCATTCACTTGATGGTCAGTTAATGAATTTATAACAGGTATAATTAGTGGTAACACACTTAGATTACCCGACAAAGGTTCCCATTTGGCATTTCTTGTGTCTGGAGTAAATATTCAACATTATAAACATCGATCAAAGGATTAACCGATAACACGCTGATTGATTAATTACTTTTATCTTATACAGCGGAATTGTCAAAAGGTAGTGTTTATGTATGTAGATTTACTAATCTATACTGAATACACTCTGTCGTGTCGGTGTCTGCGTTAAAACAACGTCCTTCTTTCAAAGGATTAACCGGCAATACATTGATTGATTGCCCATTATTGGCTAACTAATTTACTGTTTTTAAAGAAAGGCGGACATTATGCAATTAGTTGCCAGGTGTGCTATCTTGGGTGATCAATGAGACTATACACCAATACCTGAAAAGATTTATCACTGTTTCGTATATCAAACTGTTAAAAGACATCATTTGGAACAGTTTTGTGGATATTGATGGATACATTCCTCGAACAAGGTAATGGCCTGATATTGTTCTTATAACTTTAATCTGTTTTAATTTTAATATTTGCATGTTGTTTTTATTCATTTGTCGTAGCATTCAACAGAATCATTGTTTTCGCCGTGAAGTGTAATGAGACAGACAACATACACTGGGGTGTGTGTGCGAATTATGATTCACATTGGCAAACTATAAAATGTCTAGATATTACAGTTCTGTTATAAATTCACTATAAGTATCAGCAGATCGTCTGCTTTTTATTTAGTTTCAAAATGCATACAAGTATGATAATAAACTAATTAGGATTATAAGACCAAATATAAAGACGCACATTGACTAGTATCTACATACTGGTGAGTGGACATTAACCATGTGAATGTAGCAAGAAATTTATCGCGCAGTATTGTGACTTCGACCCCCGTGGAAGAAATCGTTATGTTATAAGTTGTGTTATGCAAAATCCGTTTGGTTATGATTCCAATACATATTTAACTACGAGTAGAAAGTAGTTTTGATTTTCTAACTTGATGAAAACAAACTATAATCTCATTAATTCTAACAGACTTTACGATTTTCAAAAAATGGCGGCGCCCTGTTGGGAACATCCGCCAGTCTGAGGATAAATGCTATTTAGGTTTGTTTTCACCGAGTTACAAAATCAAAACTACTTTCTACTGGTAGTAAAATATGTATTTTATTGATGGCCAATAGGATTTTGCATGACATAGCGTATAACATAACAATTTCTCTCCTGGCAGCGAGGTGGGTGTCAATATAATACTACTTACAATATTATTGTTACTTCGACCACAACCTCACTTCCGAGGAAGAAATCGTTATGTCACAAGTTGTGTCATTGAAAATCTTTATGGTCATCCATCATATACATGTTTTACTACAACTAGTAAGTAGTTTTAATTCTTTAACTTCCGTGAAGCGATCTGAACACAAGTAAGATATGGTTTCAGGCTTCCACAACGCTCGCTTCGCACTCACAAACATAACCCATTTAGCACGAACTGCGGGGTCCTGTGGAAATCTGTGCATGGTGACACCATCGCCCGACCCCTAGGAGCAATTGACGACAAAGCAACGATTCGGCATGTCGTCGTTGATGTCGAGAAATCATCAAAATGATGAGCGTGCTACACACTTTCTATACAACTTCTATACAACTAACTGAAAATCGTTCCTCATATGACGTCACTGCAGTGCTCTGGCGACAGAGTTACGTAACCTGTCTGTGGTTTCGTTGGCGGGCGAGAGGGAAGCAGGCGACTTTTTGGCCACTTTTAATCGCTCGGTATTAATTAACCACAAGTTTTTAAAGAATAAATTTGGTGTTCCGCGTAAGACTAACGACAAATCTTTCATATGTAATGGTTAAAAGAGTAACAAAAAACAAAGTTTATTGGTTCTTTAATTAGCTAGATTATTTACAGACCGCCGCGATATAGCTTGACTATTGCTGAGTGCGGCGTAAATCTAAACTCACTCACTCACTCAGTTGGTACGTAAACTACTTCCATCATGTGCTAGAGTATGCAAAGGGAAATAACTCGTGCCTCGCATTCCTCTATCTCTCGCACGAAAGAGTCTCGATATAAGCTTGGATCGGATCGTAAGATCGGGACCGGCTACGATCGGCCTAAGACGTTAGTGGAACGGGTGTAACTTTTAGCTCAGACGATTGTAAAATTGGCTTAACTTGCTAAGATTGATCTTAGATAAGATCGGTTAGTGGAACGGCACCCTGTACTCTAATGTACCGCGTCCTGCCCTGCCCTGCCCTGCCCTGCCCGACCCTACCCTGCTGTACGATGCTATATTATGCTATACTGTACTTTACTGTACTGTACTCTAATGTACCGCGTTCTGCCCTACCCTGCTGTACGATGCTATATTATGCTATACTGTACTGTACTCTAATGTACCGCGTTCAGCCCTGCCCTGCCCGACCCTACCCTGCTATACGATGCTATAGTATGCCATACTGTGCTAAACGATGCTATAGAATGCCATACTGTGCTATATTATAAAGCTATACTATTATATATTACATAACCATACTTTATCACTAATTCATATTGTTAGACACTCTTAGATACTAGTATATTATTGGTTTGATCACGTTTTCTTCGTTGAGAGGTAATACTGAGCGATGCAATGTTTGGTTCAGTTGGTAATGATCTGTAAGGAAGAGGTGGTAAAGAAATCATTTAATTTATATACAACAGACGGACAATAAAATTAGTATGAAATACCAGTGGTAATACAACATGAAGTAAGGTTCGACATGCACTATGTAGTACAGGGGGTAATCGAATTTGTCGTAGACATGGTATGGATATATATATGTGGTAGAAATAGCCATGCAGTATGTAATACAGGTGGTAATGCAGTATGTAATACAGGCGTAATGCGTTGTACAGGTGGCAATGCAGTGTGTCGTAATTATGTTAATGCTGTATGTAATACAGGTGTAGTATGTAATGCAGGTGTAGTATGTTATCGGGTGTAATATGTAATCAGGTGGAGTATGTTATGCAAGTGTAGTATGTAATGCAGGTGTAGTATGTAATACAGGTGCATTGTGTAATGCAGGTGTAGTGTGTAATGCAGGCGTATTATGTAATGCAGGAGTAGTATTAATACAGGTTTAGTATGTAATACTGCGATTTATTACCCACGTGGTCAACGTATGGGTAGTTGCATACTAATCTCGTACGTCACACGAGTGTCGTATCGCGTTGACCTGTGTCGTAACGACTTGACCTGAGATTCTAACGATTTGATTGGATAACCGATGACCTCTCAATTAGGTCACATTCTGACGTAACTATTCTTTCATTCATAACAAACACGTGAATTCATTCATTCTACAACTTAAATGCATTGTGGGAATGTAAACATTGCGAATGTTGCCGTGTCGCTGTTTAATTGTGAGTCGAACTGAAACATTATATCCGTTGAAAAATATAAACGCAATGTTTCCACCAGTGATGTTAGCCGAATGAAGCAACTGCAAACCAAGAAACGGGGTGCTACGGAGTAGTTTACTGTAGGAGGCTGTACGAGGCGATGACAACTGACATGCATCGTGACGTCGGTTACCATGGCAGTGACGTCATTACAGTGTGACGTCATGCAAATATTGTACTACAGTACAAATCTCTTCCGCAACCTCTTTATGAAACCGGTTTCGGTTTGAAACCACAAAAATATCAAAAATACGCTATTTTGTCAATTTAATGCATGCAAGACGTGGGTAATAAATAAAATACCACACTCGGTCTCATTACATACGAATTATACGAAACTCGTGACCTTCCTATCGTGACCTCGCTTTCGCTCGGCCAGATAACGAGGAAGGACACTCGTTTCGTATAATTCGTATGTAATGAGACCTCGTGTAGTATTCTCTATATGTAGTGCTGATGACAATGCAAGATGTAATACATGAGATACAACAGTGAGTGAGTATAATGTTAAGCCAGTTGCAGCAATATTCCAGCAATATCAAGGCGGGGGACGCCATAAATGGGCTTCACACGTTGTACCCATGTGAGGAATCGAACCCGGGTCTTCAGCGTGACGAGCGAACGCTTTAACCACTAGGCTACCACACCGCCCCAAATACTTAATTGTACAAATGGTAATACAATGTGTGGAAAATGATAATAAAATATGTTGTACAAGACGTAAAAGTAGTAGAGATATACACGCAATATGTACAAAGGCGGTAATGCAATGTGCAGTACAATTGATAATACAATATGCAGTACAGGTGATAATACAATATGCAGTACAGGTGATAATACAATATGCAGTACAGGTGATAATACAATATGCAGTACAGGTGATAATACAATATGCAGTACAGGTGTAAATGCAGTATGTAGTACAGGTACATGTACTGGGATTAATTTACATGCATTGTAATGCATACATGTATTAATGTGGTACAGGTTTTAATGTAATATGTAATACAGGTGTTATTGCAATATGAAACACTGGTTGTAATGACATAGCTACCTCTGCCCCCAAGTAAGTGGTCCGTCAGGAAGGAAGGAGGGCGACTGGAAAAGACATCAGCATGTCTAACAAGAGCATCTTTCAGGGTGTTATAGCCGTTGAGGACAATAACGGGTTTGTTGAAAATATAGATGCTGTAAATATCCCCGTATTTCCGTCTCAGTTTTCTGAAAGTCTTTCGCGGATCTGTATCCAATGACAGCAGGTTGCCTAGGAAAGGGACAAGTGGGGGTCCGGGCGGGAGCGTCGGAGGACGCCGGGTCCACCACCACAACCACAACCCTACCACCGTCAACCCAAGTAACGACATGGGACTCGACGTCAGCAGGAACAACATTACAGCTATACATCAACTTCTCAGTTAACTAATCCCTAAGGAGTCATGCAGGCGTCGTGGTTAACAAAAGACGAACACAACAGACTTAAAAGTGCTGTTTTCTTTTAATATTGATCAGGAGTGTTTAACAACATCCCTCCTCTGGCACTGAGAAATGCTAGTCCAAACAGTGGTGTCCCAGTTTCGAGTCCTTCAAACACAACTACGTGACATCCCTGTTAGTAACTATTTTGAGAAATGAAATAGGTGAATCGGCTTCCCTAATTTACACGCCATACAATCAAACATATTTCTTAAAAGTATTTGTTGAGATTAGAAGAATCTCCCTGTACACGGAAAACGTCATTCAAATATGAACTGCTCCTTTTACGTTACACTAACAATCAGCATGTGCCTTCGTGTGACTAGATTTATGGTCTACCATTTGATTGTCTGGTTTGTCTATCCATCAATGTTTTCGACACCGTTTTACATTATGGAATGGGAAATGGAGATATATTAGTCTGTAGCATTGGTCGGTTATATAATTAGAGTGAGTGGTTATAGTTTTACGCTGCTTTAGCAATATCTCAGCAATATTACGACGGGAGACCCCAGAATGTGTTTTACACATTGCACCCATATGGGGAAACGAACCCGGGTCTTTGGGGAAACGAGCGGACACTTAAAGCACTAGCCGACACTTAGCCTTAAACACATTTGAAGTAAAAATGGCGAAACAACCATATGATTAGCCAACCTAACATTGCAGGAATATGTCGCACTTCGTATTTGTTAATTATATAGGTAGTAAACGAATGGTACTCAAAAATGTCGTCTGTTCCAGCTGGGAGAACGAATATATCACGATTTATGCAACGAGTGCCTTTGTTTGCAGGATACCTGCAGTATACATGTACTAAGATAAAGCTACTCTGTTTTTAATTTCGGGGCCCTCTATCGTTGACTTAAGACAGCTAAATGTTCCATTTAAAACCTCACGGATATAGTTGAAGATTACCTAATCGGTGTCAAGGAAATAATCGAATTGGGACTTGACAATCCAGTGATCGATATGATGAGCACCGATTTACGCCGTCGGGGTAATCAGTCAAGTCACCAAATCGGACTACCACAGGTCACTAAACTATGTGTAATTCACAATGACATTTACAGTCCCGAATAAAAACTCTCGGCCGGTCTATATCCCCGGTCGGATATTTCGAACATGATATGCAACGTCGACAGTTTGATTGCGTGCGTGCGTGCGTGCGTGCGTGTGTGTGTTGTGTGGGAGCATCACATCTCATGATAGGACACAACTTGTCATTGTCAATGGCAACCTGACAGGTCTGCGATACAGGGATGACATCATTTGACTTCACTTGCAGCTGTCCATTCAAGGACAGAGACGTAACTTCACATTTCAGCAAGATACTGCCCGTCCACATGTGGTTCGTTTTGTGACAGATTTCCTGAGGCAGCAGAACATTCCGGTACTTCCCTGGCCAGCTGTTTCTCCGGACCTGTCCATGATCGTGTACGCATGGGATGAAATGGAGAGACGTTTACGTCAAGCCCAGAATCAGCCACTGACGTTAGCAGAATTGGGACAAGCGTTTGTTTCTGGCACGGAACAACGCTCCCCAAGGTCTCTTCAATCGGATACATAACAATATATGGATCAACAACTTCTTTATTACAGCGAGAGCGTCGTTTCGGTGTAGGTTCTAACACCGTTATCAAGCAAGTGATGAACAGATTGAGGGTGGGGAGACATATGTACAAGTGTGAGATATTTGTACAGTACAATGGGGATTAGCACTGCAAAAACATAGGGAAGCCAGTTAAAAGCAACCAGTTAACAACACAGCCAGTTGACAAATAGCCATTCATAATGTTATCCATCAACCTTTCTTCAATCGCTTAGTGTGGTCTATGCCTCGTCGTTGTCAAGCCTGCATCAACGCTAATGGTGGACACACACGATACTGAATTTGCGAACTGACACAACGTCTCTTCAAAAGCGTGTCACGATGCCTAGTGTCAAATCATACAGATTTCGATATTATCCTGTCAACAGTAAAATACTTGATTAAGGAAAACACTACAAATCATGGTATTATCTTTTTGCATTAAAAAAGTCATAACATCAAATAATGCTCAGTTCCAGTAGTTTCCCCTGCACACGTCTCCGCTTTTAAGTAACCCTATTACCCAACCTCTCCGCCGATACGATAGTAGTAGTAGTAGTAGTAGTAGTAGTTTATTTTAGTCTCATCTTGTACATACAAATAATGTATACATAAATTTATAGAGCTGTGTATGCACAAGCCGCCAGAAGGCGATAACAGACTTAAAGAGCATTAAAAAACGTGAGATTGATAAAATGATTAAAATAAATTGCATAAAATTATACACTTGAAATACAACATGACACACACGACCGCGCGCACACACACATGCACACATTGTATCAGCGGTAAACACAGAGGCGCTCACACAGAGATACACGTGCACAGGTATTATGTACAGTTATGTCCCCTGTCACAGCCCCGCTAGGGTAAATAGCCATAACCTCTCTAAGTAAACGATCGACAACCTGTCACAGCTGGAGATACATTACTTCCAGTTCTGTGTACCCTGATCACTAACTGACCTGCACATGTGACGGTCACATCAGTGTTGTTGTTGGATGTTTTTCAGGCACCTCACGCACCCAGGTTTTTCCCAGATAAAGGTAAGTTTAACAAGTACGTTCCTTTGTATCAGGGGCCTGGATCCACTATGTCACCTGTAATGGATTGGGTTTGCCGTTGCATAAATACCCGCGAGAATGACGTGTATGCAGGACAATCACCACTCTGTGATCTTGACATACATATTGATTGTCGGCATATGCTCGTCCTGGACAGGATCATTGTGGTAGCTAAACAACACGTGTTACAATATACAGTTCGATTTCTCAAACATTATTGCAAATCACATGTTGCTATGCCTTTCACCTTGACGTAACTGAAATATGGCGTGTGGTATTGACGTAGTCATGATAACACAACGCCCTTTTCTCCTTCTCAGACACTCACTCAGCAATACGTGATGATCAAAGTCTATATAGCCCATAGGGACCACACAAACCTTACAATTAGACTTATCTCTCCAATGGATAGGCAACCCACCATGGATATGCCTGTGATTATGTGTTACAGGGTGGCCATATCAAGTAACAGGGTGGTAGACTTCCGGTTGACGTGAATGGCGAGACGTGCTTGATTTCAGATCCTCAGTTAAATCCGCCTTAAATCAACACAACTGGCTACGAATCGAAGGGGGAAAGGTAAAAAAAAGTCCGACAACGTCCAGCGAGGCGGTCTGAGTTTTTGACCGGGGAAAGTGTGGAACAAACAAACAGGGGCTCTTTGTTGCCGAATAGTGACTCGGATAGTCAGCCATCACACTCACAAATAATGTCGGACACTGAAGAAATTAAGTGTTTCATCAACGAGGCGCTTAAACAACAAACTTCTGACATAATAGGCGGACTAAAGAACGATATTGCTGAGCTGAGAGGATCATACGATAATCTTCGGGAGTAGCTGAATTACAACTCAGCTGATATTCAAGACAACAAGGCCGAGGTAAACAAGCTGAAGTCGGACATGGCTGAGATGAAGTGTCACTTTGAAAACAAGCTCCTGGAACAAGAACTGTACCATCGTAAGTGCAACTTACTTGTTTATGGTATCCCAGACACGCGAGACCCTCTGGAGGGCTGCATTGAATTGTTCGAAGATCTTGGTATAAACAATCCTTGGTGCATTGACCTGGTTAATCCACAGACTACCTCGTCATGGTACTAACCCGCGAACTGTTAATATGCCCAAACCGATTGTTGTTATGTTTGTCAGGATGTCTGACAGGCAGGACATATTAGATGCTACATTCACCAAGGAAAACTATTGAGAGGAAGGTCTCAACGTACCTCCCGTGGCACTGAAAATACAGAGAAAGAAAGCTTATGGTCGTCAAACTACGTACAGACACGACCTGAACCCTACAGGTGGTCACCACAGAAAAACGTCACCAGGCGAAAACGGCACCATTTGGACATAACGGAACCTCGACCGCAAAAGCAAATCTTATGGTGAAAATAAGATAAAATCCTAATTATTCAAACTTTGCAAGCTACAGATTTTGGAATGCGTCTACTCTGCCGACAGTGATTGGAAATTAGCTGATAATGAGAGTGGATCTCCCATTGTATATTCACCCCCGCACCTGGTCAGTCTTCAACATCGGCAGGCAGGAGGTGGTTTTCGAACTGTGGAGTTTATTCAAGGATGGCGACCTGTCTCTGTCGCAGCTACTATCAAGAAATGCTATGATCCACGGACCAATCGTTTAGTGCAATTCATGAAGACATTCGGCCAAATAAGCATCCGGCCAAATATGGACTTTCGACGTGTGATCTTGTTATCTTGTTATTTTAATGTAATGGGTGATTGAGTGAGTTATGATTTTACGCCGCTTTTAGCAATATCCCAGCTATATCACGTGTTATAATCTTGCTAATTTTATGAAATGAAATTAAAACCATAAGTCAACGTCATACTGTGTTTTTTATATGTTGATTCTAATGTTATAATTAAACGAACTAAAACATAAAAGTCAACATCATACTGTGTTTTGTATATGGTGCCGTTTTAGCTCAGAAATCAGTAGCCGTTTTCGCCAATACGGTGCCGTTTTCGCCAAACGATTTTGGTGCCGTTCTGCTGTGGTGCCGTTTTAGCTATAACCCAATTGATATCACTCGATCTGCAATACCGACGAAGTAGAGAATTTGCCGGGAAAGATGTCGGACTGGACGATGAGCTGTGAATACATTAAATGACAATCTCTTAAGCGAATAGTATCTGCACATTCATACGGAATGTATATCAATGCTTATGATTCTACCTGGTCCGTTACTTAACAAAACCACGAAATGTACGTTTTTTTCTTTTTGTTGTTGTGAAATTTGGAATTCTGTTCATGAACTGTTACTCCACTTTTCAGTAACCAAGATATATCAACTGAACGGAAAAATCATACATGTGGACACTCCCCCCACGTGTCAATGTTTACAAACCGTACTATTTTTAGAACTGTCATATGTATCCACGTGACCGTGTCAATGTCTGCCACACTCCGGCACAGCGATGATTAACATAACGTCACTGCCACAGGCTAATTTGCATATCACGTGACCGGACTTTTCTCTTGTTTGTAAACAAACGCGCATATTCATAATAAGAAGAGACTGGACTCACAAAAGCTTTTCGTCGCTCTCTTCATATTGTTTTACATTGTTACATATATATTCTTCCACAACTGCGACAGTAAGGTCTATGATAGTACATATTTAGATATCAAACTGGTAGTCTGTCTCACAGTCCCTGAACCACATTAATTTCCCTACTGCCAAGCCCTCTCTGCAGTGCTAAAGCCCTAAATAAAGCAAGTTTAGATTTCCTCAGGTTCAGGATGAATCTCTGGTCTCCCTAGGGCTCCTTTTCAATATAAATGGGCTTGTTTGTTACTATCAAAATTATATATATTCAGAGACTAAGCCTTAGTCTATCAAACTGGCTGCATCGTTTGCTCTCCATCAGCTTCGATGACAGCACGTGGAGCCGTACAACCTATGTAAACAAAGAATCGCTACGCAAATCGTAATAGTGTTACATGTTTTTTGGATATTTTCTCAGTGAAACTAAACCATTCTATTAAAGATGTTTATTTAGATGTGTAGACTCGTCAAAAATAAAAGAGTAAAAGAAATCTGTACATGATATTGCATGGACATTGCAAGATGTGACAAATCGTGACATTTTCTGGCCTGTGGCAGAGGTACTAGGCTGGCTTGCCGCATGGAACTCTGGGTAGGAGAGTGAATTTCTGCGTCACTTGCGAACTTGAAGATAAAACCAATCCTATGTAAAAAGTCATTGTCGTCATCTGCTTTCAAACAATTTAAAAAGTTGGGTATATTATATGATTTTGTGGGCCCGATTTTGTACTTCCAACTTTGTGTAGAAAGTTGTCATAGACAGACTTTAAGTTTGTATATTTGTCTATGATGAAAGCGAAAGATGCATCATGTTATGTTTGTTCAGTTTTCGTTCAGCATTTGTCACATGTTTATTACTGAGGATAAGATGACCAGTTTGACAATCTCGATATCGCTATTCCCCTAGATGGTTAATGGACGGATAAACTGTAAGTTTAGTGGATTTAATATGTATCAAATGATACATTTGTATATATTGTTCTTGTTTCTATTTGATGTTTCGCTTCCACCTCTATGTTATTTGTTGGAAGTCATATTAAAAGGTACAGGTACATAATTTTTCTCAGACCTTTTGGTCTGCTATTCATTATTCCCATTATTTGTACACATTGGTGCCTCACCCCCTGTCTATCATATGGCTGAAAAGCTGAAGATAGTATCCCTCAACTGCAGAGGTCTCAAAAATAATATGAAAAGAAAAAGAAAGTATTTAATTTTCGGAAAAAGAAAAAAGCTAATATTAATTGTTTACAAGATTTACACTTTACAGCTGAAGATATTCAACATATAAAACAACAATGGGGTTACAATGAATGCTACATAAGTCCCTTCACAAACAATTCCAGGGGAACATCTGTCATGTTCAACAATAATTTTGAATTCAAGGTTCTAAATAATAGACGAAGCTTCTCCGGCACCTAGGTTGGTTGTTAAACACTGCGAAGTCGGAACTAACACCGACCCAGACCCTTCAATTCATCGAAGCAACTTTCGACACGCACCAGGGCCTGATTTTCCCCCCCAAGACAGGTTCAACCATCAGCTCCCGCAGTTTGTCTCGCCGATACCAGACCAACTAGCGTGGGATCTCGACGCTCTGGCGATTTCGTGGGAGGGACTCAACGCTTACGCTTTTCCTCCTCCGGGTCTTCTACCCAGAGTCGTTCAGACACTCTGAGCGACCAGGCAGATTCTACTGACTTTGGTCGCGCCTTATTGGCCAGTCAGGAGTTGGTTTGTCGATCTCGCACAGCTCGCAGACCCCAACCCAGTTCCGCTTCCCGATTGGGACGACCTACTATTACACCCTCACTCGGATCGGCATCATGTCTCCCTTCACACCCAGTCTCTACACGTTTGGCGCATTTGCAGAGGTCCTTAATCGCCAAGGGGTATTCGCGGAGAGTGGCTATGGCCATCACTTCTGCTCATCGGACTTCCACCCGCTCACTTTATGATGAGAAGTGGAAATGTTTTGAGAGATATTGCACGTCCAGAGGCATTACATCTCCTGTTTCTTCTTCGCCTCAGCTCGTCGCTGAGTTTCTGCAGCATTTGCGGTCGTCTAAGAAGCTCAAGGGTTCCACTTTGGCCACTTACCTTGCTGCGATCAACTCGGTCCTGGCTACCACCACAGGCTCTAAGGTCTCCACGGTTCCTGAGCTTCAGTATTTGCTTCGGTCCTCTAAGTTGACCGATCAGTCTAAGAAGTTTAGACCTCCTGCTTGGGATTTATCCGTGGTGCTGCGTCATTTGGCCTCGTCGGACTATGAACCCCTAGCTCAGAAGGACTTTGAGCAGATCTCCTTCAAGACCTTATTCCTTGTGGCCTTGGCTACAGCTGCTCGGATATCTGAACTCCACGCTTTGGACATTAGTAGAGTCCAGTTTGAACATAAGAAACATGGCAAAGTCTTCCTCGGTCTACGTTGGGATTTTGTAGCGAAGAATCAATTGCCAGGACAACCCGATCGTACTTTTACCATCCCACCGTTGTCCACGATCCTTGGGCCCATGACAATGAAGACCTGCAGCTTTGCCCTGTTAGGGCTTTGAAGATTTTTCTTGCTGCTTCTAAAGATCGCCGCCGTCTTCGCAAGCGCCTCTTCATTCCGTTTTCCTCAACATCCAGGGCGGAAGTGTCTCGCACCACTTTATCCTTCTGGGTGAGAGCCACCATCCTACGGGCTTACACCTTCGCTAGTTTACCGCCTCCGACAGCTTCCAATCCACATGAGACACGGGCGTTAGCGTCTACAATGGCTCTGCATAGTAACTGCGCTCTCCTCGCCATTATGGAAGGATGTTTCTAGCGATCCGACTCGGTCTTCTCCTCGCACTATCTTCGAGACCTCTCAGTCAAGGATGTCCAAGGTCTGCACCAGTTAGGACCCCTTGTGCTCGCACAACAGTTGTCTACGGCCCACCAACGCAGATAGGGAACGGTCCCTCGCGGTTGCTGCTTCCCTGTGTTTTCTAGAATATAACTCTGAACTTGCTGTCTGCCTTATGTTTTGATTGCTTATGGGTTAGAACTACTTCACTTAGTTTTATACTAAGACACGGAGATACTACCACCTCGGTGGTTGGACGAATCTGGAGCTCGATTCTGTATCACGATGTGGAAGGGTTTGACATTTCACTTTTCTTGACCTCTACTCTTCGAAGCAATTACGTCAGTGAAGTGTGTCACTCCCGCATTCCAGTGGATTTCGTTGCGTTCCGACTCCGAAGTTGCTCATCCTTTGACTAAGCTTCTGCAAAGGAGTGAGGGTCAATTTGATGCTGTCCCGGAACTGAACGTTAAAGCTTGGAGTTCCCGAGTTGTGCTCCTCTTTCACCCGCCCCTGGTTGGTGTCTGTGGGGGTTTTCTTGAAGCAGGGGCTGGCCCGATTATTGTCAACCGACTTTAATTTACGGGGGTACCTTGAAAATCGTGGCGAAGTGACATCCTTTCTTGCTGAACTACGTCCTTCTTGGGAGGTTGTGGCCAAACTCCACATCGCTCGGGAGCACCCATCTCCCTAGGAGACGTTGTGCTTAGTAAGCCAAGGAGTTCCAAAGAACTCAGCACAAGCATAGGAGTTGCGTGCATGCGTAATAGGCCTCCCTTGTGCATCGCTCTCTACGGTCGTTTCCAGTCTACACAGTTCCTACTGTTCGCTCTGTCAAGACACAGGGTATCTGTGTCCCGCCGTCCGACCGTGGGATAAGTGCATACCGTGAGATAGGATAAGTTTAAAAATTTGAAAATTTTAATATAAATTGTATATTTATATACTTATCCTATCTCACGCGAGCGGATTCCAGCCCATCCTCCCCGTTATGCAGATTCTCCAAGTGGGATATTATCCAGTGGCTCCAAGAATGAGAATGATGTTTCAGAGATAGTCACGTGGATAGCTAGTGGTGCATGCCGCAAGCTTTGCATGAGAGCTAGGAAGCTGTCTTATAGTGAGGGTAGCATGGAGTGCTTGGGCGGATGGACAAGAGAGGCCTAGGAAAAAAGTTTACATCGTTCCACTCAGTGTCGAATCAAGAGAGAGAAGTGCATACAGTGAGATAGGATAAGTATATAAATATACAATTTATATTAAAATTTTCAATATTGAAAAAACAAAGCTAATTTGGATAGGATCAAAAAAGAGATCAAGACTAAAATTATGCAAAGACTGGAATTTTGACTGGTCTCATACTGAATTTACACTTTTAGGTATTCATTTTGACATAGATTTAGAAAGTATGGTTGAAAAAAATTATTCTGATAAATTGTCTCAAATTACGAAAGAAACCCTTTGGAAGAAACACAGTTTTGAAATCACTCCTGCTTCCCAAAATTAAATCACCTATTTGCTTCACTCCCAAATCCTCCAGATCATGTCTTAGATAAGCTTCAAAAGCTATGTTTTAGATTTATTTGGAAAGGAAAACCAGACAAAGTTAAAAGGGACATTGTTACATCTCTCCCTAAACATGGTGGATTAAAGGTACCAAAAATCAAAGAGACAATTGCGGCACAAACGCTTGGATGGGTAAGAAAACTATTACAGAAATCAAATAGGTGGGACTATCTTTTTCTTAGAAAGATAACATGTGAAATTTACCTATGGTCTGCAGACAGCAATTATATTAAAAATGTTGTTACTCCAACCTTAACTAATCAGTTTTGGAAGGATGTGTTTCTTGCTTGGGCTTGGTTCACATCTAAGCAAAAAGATACTATTACAAGTGAATTTGAAATCCAGTCACAGGCTATCTGGTGTAATGATGACATATTGGTTGATAACAAACCTATTCTATATAAATGTTGGTATAACAAGGGAGTTATGTTTATATCTGACATGTTGACAGCAGACGGGAAATTTCTATCCTTTGATGACTTTATAGATCTATATAAACTCAGAACAAATTTTCTGACCTTTGAAGGGGTCAAACAAGCAATTATTACATATATGTTAAAGGTAAATGTTTCATATTTTTCAACTCTGAGCATTAAACCGACATACCCTTTTAATTTGTCCAAACTTAAATTCAGTGAAAAAGGTAGCAAATATTTCTATGAAACACTCCTATGCTCTAAATTTAAAACAGAACACTATAATAGAAACTGGGATAGCCAGGAATCTAAATCTCCTACCAAAGGAGTGGGAAATATTTAATATTTTCCCATGGAAGTGCACCTATAGCACTGCTCTAAGATGGTTACAATACCGAATTATCCATAATATTCTACCTACAAAACAGTTTTTGTTTAAGATTAAGTACATAGATTTTCCCATTTGTAGTTTCTGTAAATATAACATTGAATCAATTACCCATCTATTTTTGGACTGTGAAATTGTTCAAGATATTTGGAAAAACCTCCAGTCATGGCTCTTAACTGGCTTGAATATTCCGTTATATTTCACAAAACATAATGTTTTACTTGGAATTAAAGGAAAAATAATAATCCAATTAATGCCATAATACTTGTTGTGAAGCAGGTTATCTTTAGACACAGCAGAAATTCAACTGTACCCTTTATCAGTCATGTGAAAAGGGAGATAATTAAGTATTATGACATTACAAAATATGTTTATTCCTCCTCTTGTGGTGTTGACAGATTCTTCTCCTTTTGGTCATCTCTACATGCACTCTTCCAGCACTATAAGGAGAGGGATGAATAATTTTGTCTATGTTATCCTTATTTCATATAGATACAAATTGAATGCATATCCCCCTGTGCATACATACGTATATGCATACATACATACATACATACATACATACATACATACATACATACATACATACATACATACATACATACATACATACATACATACATACATACATACATACATACATACATACATACATACGTACGTACAAAGTCACGTCCTCGTCGTGACATGCATACATACATACATACATACATACATACATACATACATACATACATACATACATACATACATACATACATACATACATACATACATACATACATACATACATACATACATACATACATACATACATCGTCACGCCGAAGACCCGGGTTCGATTCCTCACATGGGCACAATGTGTTAAGCCCATTTCTGGTGTCCCCCGCCGTGATATTGCTGGAATATTGCTAAAAGTTGTGTAAAACTAAACTCAGTCAGTCAGTCAGTACATACATACATACATACATACATACATACATACATACATACATACATACATACATACATACATACATACATACATACATACATTAATACATTATACATACATACATATATACACATATACACACATACGTATACATATACATGCACACGCACACACACACACACTATGAAGATATGGTGTATCTGATGGCATTTGCAGACTTTTTTCTATAGAAATATCATTGATTGCTTCTGTATTCTTGTATGTTAGCACAATGTGTACCTATCAATGTCATATATTGACTTCATGTACTGTACCTATAAACAAGTGAAAAAATGGTAAATAAAAAAATAAATAAAAAGAGTACCAGTGTGGTAGGTTATGAACGACAGTACTGTAAACCATAAGTATAACATGCTTATTACAAGCTGTGTTTTTGGTCCCGATAACTGCGGCACATTTTAGTCGAAATGCGTACAACGAACTTCGGATACAGCCAACTAAAATTCATGGTCCCTTTACTATGTGTTGAGAAATTGTTAATTCAAAATTGGGAATATTTAATGACTTTTGCCACAGACTTATTGGGAATATTTAATGACTTTTGCCACAGACTTATTAGCCGAATATCGGCTGTGTGGAGGAGAAAATCAGCAAGGAAGTCTCCTCGAGAGATAGCCTACATAGTACATACAGTTCAAAACAGTGTTTATATTCGGTGCATGATGTATCATGCTATATAATTTGATCTGTTGTCAGGTTACTGAATAAATGTATGTCTGTATCCCACCGTGCGCATTAACATGATGTAACGCTGTCCAGCATAAATAACTTCCTTAAGTGCTCGTGGGTATCATTTCCTTATATGTCATTGGCAGGCTTCCTCCACGCAATTCAGCACAATCAGATTCACATCGGAGACCTGTCCATGTGAGGAGAATCCCTATAGCTTCTAAGCCTGCTCAAGGATCATCGTCTCATTCCACACACCAAGCAGCCACCTTCAAGCATGGACGCATCTCCCGACATCTTCCATCGAAGCTGTATACAGAATCCACTCTGTGACTGCAGCAAGTTAGCATCTCACAGCTTCAGTGTTGTCAGCTACAACATCCTTGCGGAGTGTCACAGGAGGCTGGGCGACTACCATCAGTACACAGAGAAGAGATTCCTCACGCAGGAGTTCCGCCATCAGCTGCTGCAGCAGGAGCTCCTCTACCTGGACGCTGATGTCATCTGCTTACAAGAAGTCAACCCCAGCTACTACAATACCCATCTACATCCAGCTCTGTTGAAGTAAGTAGGTGTTTGTGATCACCAATAGAAATCTCTTAGTAAGAGATGTTGTTTATTATGTTGTCGGACAGCGCTCTTTGATATGGTTGTAGAAACAGCACACATGATTGTACATCATTTGTTGTACAATATGGAAGGAAAAGACTGGAGAATATTGAATATTGCATGATATGAAAGGTGACTATTGGACGGTTGAAGTCATCCTTCTTATCATACAATCTTGTGGAGAGTATTTTAAGTAACTTTAAATCTTTAGGCATAATGCTTTTAAAAAACCCATTTAGATCTGTATTTATAGTTCACGTGAGTATATCAGTTGAAAGGAACTGACTATTATCGAATGATAAACCACCGATATAACTGAAACTTAAGGTAAACTTCTTGGCAAATTAACTTGTTTTGACTTTTCCAAAGAACCTGTATAAAGAAACAGATGAGCAGCAAGTGGGATACCTACTCCTTGCCACTAGTTGAGCGGAAACTAGCTGTCTTGTCTCATCACTGTAGATGTCATTTGCTTATACTATTGACAACTGTCCTGAACCTCTGAAGATAGGTTCATTATTGCATCTAGAATCACCATTCTCAGTGACAAATGGATAGAGGACTGAAGTTTTGTATGTGGGATTGGACTAAAAGTTGAAAATCAAATGTTTTAATGGAGCTAAATTTGTTTCTATTATGAACTTGCAAAAAAGAAAAATCGTTGGACTTTATGAGAATCCACATGGTGTTAATTCCTCTCATCTCAAATACCCTCTGTGAAAATATGCCATGGTAACAGGTGTGTTAGTAGAATGTGTATATTGGCCTCTACGAGGAAGGTAAGGATACATAGGATTTGTTACAGTGATGTTGTCAGACATCATTTCACCAGTCAAATTGGTTGTTTGTTTTGTCATTGTCCAAATAACTGAATCAAGCTAGGTGACTGGGTGTATATCCGTTATACACATTATAACTCTGTTCAGTAAAACATGGCAGGTTGACACATACTGTTTATACTGTTTGATGTTTGTCATGTATACTGCGGAATACGTGTTGTGAATATGACAGCTTCATGTAAATATAGAACTATAGATAGAGAATTAATATTTCGCTCGGGCAATACACAATTTCACACTCGTTTCGTATAAGTCATATGACACACTTGCTCGAGTGTAATAATTTCTTCATTATCCATTTTATTCATGTACTTTTGTGCAGAAAACATGGTAATTGACGTCACGTTCAGTTGTGTAATGATGTCGCAGATGAAATACAGAAACAATGTTTGCTAGGCAAAAGTGACATGTGCACATGTGCACATGATATATATGACACTGGTTATGTTTCACCATATGGATAATAAACAATGTTATGTGTCATGCTCACTGGATGTAGGGTTAAGGAAATGGAGGGTGTAGGATGTGTGAACCTGCTCCAGTGATATCGATGTAAAGGGCCAGTTAGTGTAACATCCCAGTTTATAGAATATCTAATACAGTTTAATATGCACCTTTTGATATTGACCACGCGTCTGTTGAAGCAGGCAGTTATATGGTTTGTTGAGGCTGAAAGCTGATAATGTTCTATAGGCAGTGTTTAAGGCACAGAGCTGATAGCAGTCTGTAGGCAGTGTTTAAGGCACAGGGCTGATAGCGGTCTGTAGGCAGTGTTTAAGGCCCAGAGCTGATAGTGTTCTGTAGGCAGTGTTTAAGGCCCAGAGCTGATAGTGTTCTATAGGCAGTGTTTAAGGCCCAGAGCTGATAGTGTTCTATAGGCAGTGTTTAAGGCCCAGAGCTGATAGTGTTCTATAGGCAGTGTTTAAGGCCCAGAGCTGATAGTGTTCTATAGGCAGTGTTTAAGGCCCAGAGCTGATAGTGTTCTATAGGCAGTGTTTAAGGCCCAGAGCTGATAGTGTTCTATAGGCAGTGTTTAAGGCCCAGAGCTGATAGCAGTTCTGTAGGCAGTGTTTAAGGCCCAGAGCTGATAGCGGTCTGTAGGCAGTGTTTAAGGCCCAGAGCTGATAGCGGTCTGTAGGCAGTGTTTAAGGCCCAGAGCTGATAGCGGTCTGTAGGCAGTGTTTAAGGCCCAGAGCTGATAGCGGTCTGTAGGCAGTGTTTAAGGCCCAGAGCTGATAGTGTCTGTAGGCAGTGTTTAAGGCCCAGAGCTGATAGCGGTCTGATAGCGGCAGTGTTTAAGGTTTAAGGCCCAGAGCTGATAGAGCTGATAGTGTCTGTAGGCTGATAGTTTAAGGCCCAGAGCTGATATGTTCTGTAGGCAGTGTTTAAGGCCCAGAGCTGATAGTGTTCTATAGGCAGTGTTTAAGGCCCAGAGCTGATAGCGGTCTGTAGGCAGTGTTTAAGGCCCAGAGCTGATAGCGGTCTGTAGGCAGTGTTTAAGGCCCAGAGCTGATAGCGGTCTGTAGGCAGTGTTTAAGGCCCAGAGCTGATAGCGGTCTGTAGGCAGTGTTTAAGGTTTAAGGCCTGTAGGCAGTGAGCTGATAAGGCCCAGAGCTGATCTGTTCTAGTGTTTATGGCCCAGAGCAGTGTTTAAGGCCCAGAGCTGATAAGGCAGTGTTTCTATAGGCAGTGTTTAAGGCCCAGAGCTGATAGTCTGGGCTGTTTAGGCAGTGTTTAAGGCCCAGAGCTGATAGCAGTGTCTGCTGAGGCAGTGTTTAAGGCCCAGAGCTGATAGTCTGTAGGCAGTGTTTAAGGCCCAGAGCTGATAGTGTTCCATAGGCAGGTAAGGCCCAGAGCTGTAGGCAGTGTTTAAGGCCCAGAGCTGAGCGGTCTGTAGGCAGTGTTTAAGGCCCAGAGCTGTAGGCAGTGTTTAAGGCCCAGAGCTGAGAGTCTGTAGGCAGGTGTTTAGCCCAGAGCTGATAGCGTCTGTAGGCAGTGTTTAAGGCCCAGAGCTGATAGCGGTCTGTAGGCAGTGTTTAAGGCCCAGAGCTGATAGCGGTCTGTAGGCAGTGTTTAAGGCCCAGAGCTGATAGCGGTCTGTAGGCAGTGTTTAAGGCCCAGAGCTGATAGTGTTCAATAGGCAGTGTTTAAGGCCCAGAGCTGATAGCCCAGAGCTGATAGCCCGGTCTGTAGGCAGTGTTTAAGGCCCAGAGCTGATAGCGGTCTGTAGGCAGTGTTGTTTACGGCTCAAGGCTGGTACTGTTCTCCAGAAGGTATTAGGCAAACGGCTGATGGGGGACTGTGGACTGTGAGTTGGCAAAGGACTGCTCTTACATAAGACGGATCATCTTGTATCTGTTCCAGGCATGGATACGAAGGTGTCTTTATCAAGAGGACCCAGGACTTCTTTGATGAAGGGGAGGCTACATTTTTCAGAAGTGATAGATTTTCACTTGAATGCCACAAAGGAATCCCCTGACGGCGAGTTTGATAAAGGCAAGTTATATATAGCGTCTTTGCGGTGTTCCAAATCAGTAAAATCATGATCACTAATATAGGAAGTTGTACTGCCTGTTACACTATTATTGTTGTATGTAATCCGTATCAATGTCCTTTAGTCAAATGGATGCTCTACGTCCCAAGTCTCCTGTTAGATATAAGCATACTTTCCAGTGGATTCAATTGATTTCCTTATCTCCACGTCAGAATGTTGAAATCCAATTAGTTCAAGAGATCCTGATAAAATACTACGTAGGAAAATAGATTTGTACGCAGAAGAATAACTAAAACCATGTCCCATGGGCACATTATTCATGTGTCACGTGAAACAGTCTATTAAAGCTACCATTTGTTCCTTTGATAGTCTTTTTTCCTATCAAATTTCATATAAAATCATATAAACATGGCAGTTTAGAATGTGTCGGCAAAATAGATTAGTAATAGCAGTAACACGCAGCAGGTGTTCGTTTATGCGTCCATCGTAAGTTCAGTACTACTTGCCGGTTGCGGCTTCTGGTATAAAATCTGATGCAGTAACATAACACCACCGAGATTGACGTTGTTACAGCTTATATTTTATCTGTGGCTTGAACAATGTGCATGGAGTTATTTCCTATGGGTCGGAAATGTTCTTATTTAAGGCAGATGTCATGGTTAAGTATGTTTCTTATGCCAGAAGTACACACTTAAAAATCTTTACAAATATGGCGAGATGGCAAAGAAAACGTTTATAATTGAGTAAATACATTTTGGTGAACAACGGGTATGATCAATGTCTGTGAATCAATGAAGTGTATGGGTGCAAAAGCTACCTTCGCTTACAATCTAGTCTTGGTGAATTCAAAGTTAGATGATAGATTCAAATGTATGTGTTTCGTGGCTGCAGACGTTTATTTCCAAGGGCTTATCTAACATGCTTAAATATTTTGCCATGGACCCACTCGAAGCAAAACAATGTGTACACAAAGAACTTAATTAAGCACCCCCAGTATTTTTGCAATGATAGGTTTTCAAACGTACATAAAACTTCTTAGGGTCACCACGATGGAAAACAGGCGTTTTTCTGACCCGTATGATCCTTTGACTCATAATATACGGTACCTAATATACGACAAACTGGTTGGAATCCATGTTGATTTTATGATGATAATTGCACATTAAAAACACACACTGATTTTCATACAAAACCATGTCTGTACAAGTATGGCTCTGAAATGTTTAATGTTGAATTTATTGTAATGTGAACATTCAAAATGTCATTATGCGTGTCTTACAAGATTCAAGGTCAATAGCGATTGTAACCTTGTTGCACACGACGACCAATCTCCCAGATATGCTCCAAAGGGTTAGGATCGGGGTTCATTCAAACGTGAGATATGTCCGGGGGTGTCTAACTAAGTTCTTTGTGTATATTTACCTGTTTCCATCCAATACACGTATTTAACTTGTTATTAATATGGAATGAAAAGGCTGTAGATGTTCTGATTTTGATAAAGGAAATCATTTGACAATCAAGTGAAAACTGATAATTTCCTTTGATAATCACATTCTAAACCTTTCTCTTCGAATAGTTGTACACAGGCCTTGTAAAACTGCAGCAGCTAATATTATCAAACCTTTGTCAGTGAAGCTTCTTTAGTTCTGACCCTGCTGGGCGGATACCTTAATTTGCCATTAGGCAGTAAACAGTTAGCGACTGAGTTTAGTTTTACGCCGCTTTTAGCAATATTCCAGCAATATCATGGTGGTAGAACACCAGAAATGGGCTTCACACATTGTACCCATGTGGGGAATTGAGCCTGGGGCTTTGGCATGACGAGCCAACCCTTCAACCACAAAACTAACCAACCGCCCCGACCAGTAAAGAGGAGCAGAACAAGCTGTTATAAAAGTTGGATATTGCAAATCTGGACGTCTGGAGTAAATAGGTCCTACAGAAATGTTGGAAGTTATTAGTCACTTATGAAGACATGAATCGCATTATAACAAATGTTATTTATTTGATAATGTTTTTAGAGTAAATAACAATCTAAATTACATTAGTTATTCAGAAGCCTAAAGTGTTTTTTTTTAAAATGACAAAGTTCTTACGTCTCACCCAAAATCACTTCAGTACCAAGACACAGTAGGTATCTATACCGTAAAGAGATGAAATGATTCAGCAAAATTCACTGACATATGTACAAAACTCTCTAATGTCTGGCCACATGTACAGAAGGCGAAAGGCATGGAACAGGACACGCTTCTGTGGAACGCCGTTGAGAAATACCTGGACCGGTCCGATGTGGTCAGCATCTGCACGCTTCGCTGCAACCACACCGGCAACAGACTGACTGTAGGCAATGTACATGTCACATGGGATGATCTGAGGTGCCAAGATGTCCAGGCGTTACAGGTTAGATATCGTTGTTTGAATCTCAAGCTGCTCATTGATTGATAGAACTCTATTGTTGTAAATTATAAAGTGAACAAGGTGGTAAAACTCCAGGACATTTAACAATGGTCCCTAATTGGAAGATATAACAGAACCAAAGAAAGTAGAACTGTGAAGATCAAGGTTAAAATTGATTTTCAGTAACACATGCTTGTCGTAAGAGGCTACTAACGGAATCGGGTGATCAGGCTCGCTGACTTGCTTTGACACATGTCATTGTATCCCGATTGCGTCAATCGATACTCATGCTGTTGATCACTGGATTGTCTGGTCTAGACTCGATTTAGTATTTACAGACCACCGCCATATAGATGGAATATTGCTGAGTGCGGGTAAAACTAAGTTCACTCACCTAAAGAAAGTAAATGGTTGAGGCCAGTGTGGTTGCACACAGCTCTGTGGTGGGGTGTGACTTTATCAGCGTATAGATGTATGGTTTCCTGCAGTTCTGGAGTGAAGTATTATCAGTGTATTCATCTCGTGGTTTCTGTCAGCTATTGTGGTAGAAATAGATCGCATGGGCATGTATGTTCGTGGTTAGGCTTCTCTGATGGGTGGGATCACACAAAGAGACCATGCTGTTTTCAGACGGCACTGTTGTGAAGTGAGACTTACTCTGTGTGTTCGTACTGTATTTTTATACAGATCTGTTGTGAAGTCATCCTCGATTATCTCCGGGGTATACGTTACGATCACTCTCCACTATACCCTGGATGCATCCACGGCTTGGCCCAAAAATTTTATCACCTCCCTTTGCTGGCTCCGCATCATCACAGTAGCCAATCAGCGAAGCCGCCATTACATCCGAGCTTGTCAGTGTCAAAGATAGCGGTTGCAGTCGCGAAGGTTTGTTCGCAGTGTCATTCAGAATTTGGGGAAAATAATACAGACAAATTGACAGATCTGAAACTTGTGTTGCCAAGTTTAAACGGTTAGATAAATTAAGAAGCAAAAGTGAGTTGTGATTGGTTTGCTCAACTTCCCAGCGTAGACACCTGATTGGATAAAAAGCCAGCAAAGGGAGGGAATAAAATTTTCGGGCCAAGCCGTGGATGCATCCAGGGTAAAGTGGAGAGTGATCGAAAAAAACGCATACCCTGGAGATTTTCGAGGATGTTGTGAAGTGAGACTCCTGGTAGTCGTGTGTTTTCAGACAGATCTGTTGTGCAGTGAGACAAAAAGAGTATAATGTTATCTTTTTTAGTGAGTGTCATTGTGCCCTTAGAATCAAAGTGCTGTCGGTTGGAGAGTGGAATGATTTCGTGATTGAACGGTTTTCAATGTGATTTTAGTATCAGACAGCAGTGAGACCTACTTGGTGTGATCATCTTTTGATTTCAGATAACCTCTGCCGTGAAGCATGTCATCTTGCAGGCAGGAGGAGATGAGTTCCCTCACGTTATCTGCGGAGATTTCAACTCCTTTCCAACAAGTGCTGGCTATCAGTTGATGTGTGATGGCTCCCTGTCAGACTCCAGCAAAGCATTTTTGACATCAGTTCTAAACATCAAAAGTTCTACAGGACCTGTGAGTATACAAATGTTCATTATAACAACATATCATATATTTTATGTGCTCAGACAAGGAATGACGTGATGTTTCCATGTCTTCATGTACATTCCCCATAAGTCCAGTGGACCGTTCGATACATCTGGGGAAAAAGCTAATATACTATGGCAACAGACCGTTGTAATTAATAGTTTCGTGTTAGCGTGTACATTTTTCATTTACTACAATACACTGTATGTTTAATGGGGTTACCAATTGTTTCAGAGGTCATTGATCAATTATCTCCTGGAAGAATTCAAACACACATCATCGAACATATCAAGTGCCTACAAAACCTGTCTGGTAAAAATTCATAATATCCCAGAACTGTTCACACGAAGCTACGGGGACCGTGTCTGACTGAACATCATATACAGATCTTGCTGGCAGTAACATGTCTTTGGAGGCCTAATCGTCCTCTTGTCCATGGCGTCATCATTAACGGCATGGAGTTGCATACACCGGACATGTCATAAATTGTTGATCGTGGTTTTAAATCTTTAATTATCCCAAGGGTCATGATTCATTGTTGGTTAACAGTAAACTTGTACATGTGGAATTTACAGGGGGGTAACCACCGAAGACCTTCATTGCTTTCCACTCCCATTCCCGCCATTCACTTGCCCACAATAATATAACTGAAATATTGTTCATAGAGGCATTTAACCTGACATATATGCCATGGTCAGTATCTTATCTTTCTTGTAACAGGGTCATGAGCCTGAGATCACATGTCGTGACTACAGCTTCATCGGTTGCTTGGACTACATCTTCTACGGCAGGGAGGGACTTGGTGTGGCAGACGTCCTTGGGATAGTAGACAAATCAGTTATTGACAACAACGGTGGGCTTCCGAACAAGGACTTTCCATCGGATCACTTGTCACTGAAGTCAACACTCTACTTTAAATAGGTAATAGTACAGGTGAACCATAACAGGCCTTCTGTTCCCAGGGGCAACCCTGTACGCATAAGGTAACAGTACGTGTTTATGCAACCCAAATACAGTATCACGTGACGTAGAGCACTCAGTAAGTACTAACAACAACCCTGACCCAGTTGGAATACTGTATCTGATCAACACTAACAATCCCACCTACAGGGGAGACAGTATTCTGTAACAACGCACAACTCCTTCTACTGAATATTTTGTCACTGGAACTAGAACTTAGAACTGCCTTCTGAGAATACTGTATCTTGTCACTAAGAACAACTCACACCTACACGGCAAGTTTTATCCAGTCCCGAAGAACAAACACCCCCATTCACACACCCCTCCCACCTGGCTACTGGCAGAAGTTTAACACATTTATGAAACACCTTATGATGATGGTGAATATATGACCAAAAAACAATTAGTTATCCCCCGCAACGCGTTTTGGGGGGGGTATTAAAATGGACTCAGTCGTCCGTGCGTGCGTCCGTCCCGTCCGTGCACATTTGTCTTTTCCGGAGCAGAACTCTAAAACCGTTCACTATTTCTTCACCAAACTTGGCACATAGATAGATCTGGTGGTGTACTGGTGCCTTTTGGTAGTTTTGGAATTCTGAATAAAATATGTTTGGCGTTTCCGTGGCAACAAGTTTTGACTTAGCCTGAAATTGGTGGTAGTACACTTTTCCGGAGCTGAACTCTAAAACCGTTCACTATTTCTTTACCAAACTTGGCACATACATAGATCTGGTGGTGTACTGGTGCCTTTTGGTAGTTTTGGATTTCTGAATAAAATATTTTTGGCATTTCCATGGCAACAAGTTTGACATAGACTGAATTTTGTGATAGTTCTCCTTTCTGGAGCAGAACTTTAAAAACCTTTCAATACTCTCTTTCCACTTTTCTAAATACACACCTAAATATTTGACATAATCATAACTCGTAGACATAATCATGAAAAGTATTTTGCCATTGAGGGGGATATTGATGACTTTGTCTTCTTGTTTATCCTATGTTTCAGATCTAGTGGGAACAAGTCAAGTGTTGGTCGAAGAATACTCATCTTTACCATACATCTCCATGTTTCCTGTTATAATACAGGACAATACACCCAGGAATGGTTTAGTACTGGTGAACAATTGTACTTGCTATGTGGCAGTGATGTTTCACATTGCATTAGAATTCTCCAAGCTTACTTAGAGACAGTATTCTTGGGTTCATGTGCACACAAATTTCCGCTTGATTGTTGGAAAGGATTGAGGAAGTCATAACATATATGCCAGAAATATAGCATTGTGATGGAATGATTGTCTCTCCTCTGACATTAAAACTGGCCCTTGATAACACTGACAGACTGTGAACAGTACCACGCTACTGTAGCTCACCTGGGTATGTAGTGAGTGAGTGAGTTTAGTTTTATGCAGCTTTCAGTGATATTCCAGCAATGTTACGTCGAGGGACATCAGAAATGGGCTTCACACATTGAACCCATGTGGGGAGCCCCGGTCTTTGGCAGCTGGAATGTTGGAAAGGACGGATGGAAGTGGAAGCAAGAACCATAGTCATGCCAAAATCCTAAAATGTGAAACACCAAAGTTTGATGGTTCATCCCTCCTTTAAGTGTGCATCAGAAAACTATGTCATGTAAAATCTTTTATGTTGTGATTTACAAATAATTACGGGTAACAAGTCTGTATGGATGTTAATATACTGAACAGCAAAAGTAATGCAAGTTTGGCTTTTTGTCAAGTTTTTTAATAGAAGACAACCAAAATCATGTCTAATCATTTATTATATAGAAAACACTGTCAATTTAACAGTTGAAAGTTGCTGTTCACATTTAATTGCAAGACGTTCAAATTGATCACAGTCCGTCAACTGGAGATACCCCTGAACGCGAAAAGTGACAGTCTCTTTAGTAGCGCGTATAGCCACCTTGAGCTTGCACACAGGCCGTGCAACATGGCCTCATTGAGTTCACTAGAGTCTGAAAGACTGCCTGAGGCAACTGGTTCCGCTCAAACACCAATCTGTATTCCAATTGTGCAAGTGTGAGTGGCTGTCTACCTGCCCCAATCATCCGTCCAATTTCGTCCCAGAATGTTCAAAGGGAGCCATATCCGGGAAAGAGACGGCCATGGAAAAATGTTAACATTGTTCTGAGCCAGATGATCCATCAACACCCTTGCTGTGTGAGGGCTGCTGGCGTTGTTGACGTGTCAAAACTGGCCCCACATATGGCTGTCGGCAGTGGATTCCAGCAGCCCGAAGACGATGCCTAATTGTATCGCTGGACACTGCTCCACTTGACCCAAGAACTAAGGCTGCTGTTACTGTTTCTGCTTGAGTTCGGTTCTTTAGATGAGTGACCCGGATGAACCGATCTTGTCACTCGTTGCCGTCCGGTACGGGGACAATCAGCAGCAACCCCGGTTTGCTGATGACGTTGAGCAAGTCGTGTAATGTGGTAAGATGACAGCCCAATTGCCTAGCTACAGCAGTTGCAGAGCTACCTCCGTGCAACTTTCCAATGGCCACTCCCCTCTGCTCAGTCATTAGTCTAGGCATCGTTTGTGTGGCGTGTACACCTCCTAGCGTCAATACTCAACTGTTTTTTGACACAAACCTTTATCAAGAATACCTCAGAGTGAAATGCATGCTTTCCACCCAGAACCGTCGACGCACATGCTAAAATTATGGTTTTGCTGCACTGTTGGTGTGTTTGTGCGAATGGACGTCAAATTGCATGACATCATCTCATCTGGGATCATTACGTCACTTTACCATGAACGTTCCATAAACATGAATGCTTACCTTCATGAAATTTCATTTTTTTCGAAACTTGCGTTTCTTTTGCTGTTCAGTATACAATGTTTTGTTAGTATGCACCAAATGTATGTGAAAGTGTAACATGCAGACCACTAAGGCTGGCTATCAATACAGATCATAAAGATTGATGATTGTTACCTAAATATCGATCTATAAATATCGGAATATTAACTTTGAGCAAAAACGAAAAAGAAAGTCCTCAAGAAATGAATATATTTCACACTACTTGCGAATGGTCACGTGTTTATGCATGGAACACTAAGAAAACAACGTCCTGAACATAATTTAGAAGCAGCCCACTAATAAAAAGGTAACTTTGTCTGTAGTGTGAGTAAATTAAAACTTTACTCTGCCACAAGAGCTTATGTATGATATTATAGATGACACTATTTTCATATAAATAATCATTAATATTTTTCCTATCGATGATATTTCCGATTATTGATCGTTTTAGCCAGCCCTACAGTGAGTGAGTGAGTTTTAGTTTTACACCGCACTCAGCAATATTCCAGCTATATGGCGGCGGTCTGTAAATAATCGAGTCTGGACCAGACAATCCAATGATCAACAGCATGAGCATCGATCTAAGCAATTGGGAACCGATGACATGTGTCAACCAAGTCGGTGAGCCTGACCACCCGATCCCGTTAGTCGCCTTTTACGACAAGCATAGTCGCCTTTATGACAAGAATGGGTTGCTGAAGACCTATTCTACCCCGGATCTTCACGGGTCAGCCAGCCCTACAGAACGCAACCTCAGTTCATGAACTCTGTATCACAAACACAACAAATTCCAGCATAATAAAAAATTTATTGATACAAAGAACAATCATGTTGAGTGGTTTGTTAGGATCCTTGTACAAAAATCCTTACATTACCACCAAATTATTTTGTTAATAAAATACCATCTTGCTCTTCTGAACTCTGCATGTGCTTTGATTCTTAAGGTTAAAATCACTTAAAAGGCATATGGATAACCAGTGCTCATACTAGCATGAGTGGGATTGAAACCATTAATCCTTGAATAATCACCGGAGTTATATATTTTTGATTGTCGTTAGCCCTGGTGTTTACACAAGGTCTGTCAGACAAATACATACACAATTCTAGAATGGAGAATGCATCAAGCTTCATTAAAAAGGTTTCTTCCTAAAGTTTCAAGATTATTAATGGAAAATATCAAAAGTCATTTCTGGGATGACATTTCATGTGATAAGTAATCAATATATTTCTCACCATGTTAGACCAAGTGTTTATCAAAGAAACTGTTTCGTCAGTTTATGCTGCATGTATTCAAGGAAACCATTAATTCAAGGAAGGCATTAATTCAAGGATTCAAGGATGTCCTTCAGACAAATGAACAAGAATGGCCACAATAGGTGGAGTGTGAATGATGGAGTCCATCCCACATGGCTCGTGTACATAAAAGGATTAGATGACAAGATCTTCATCAGTAGATACATGCACATTCATACACACATCCGGTTTCAGAACATGTACATATAAAAATATTAAAAAAAGATGGGAATAAATAACCATCCCTTATTGTAATGAATTTTATTCAGTATTTTTCAACTAATAGTCTTAGTCTAATATGGGCTAAAAGTTCACACCATTACATTGACTGACATGGTTCTGATAGTCTTGGCCAAATTGGGGCCCCATCCACACAACACCATTCCGCGGTCTGACATGGGTCTGATAGTTTTGGCCAAATTGGGGCCCAATCAACACAACACCATTCTACGGTCTGACATGGGTCTGATAGTTTTGGCCAAATTGGGGCCCAATCAACACAACACCATTCTATGGACTGACAAGGGTCTGAGAGGCTTGGCCAAATTGGGACCCCATCCACACAACACCATTCCATGGTCTGACAAGGGTCTGATAGTCTTGGCCAAATTGGGACCCCATCCACACAACACCATTCCACGGCCTGACAAGGGTCTGAGAGGCTTGAAAAGGGACATAGCTTATGTTTGAAATATCTGAAATAGGTCAGGATGAAAAAATGGTATATTTCCCTCTTCATGCCATGTATTTTCCCTCCTTACTATGTCAATGTAAGCAGCAAAATGACAAAACCATAACAAATGTAAAAACTGAATACTGTCATGAGAAAACGAAACGTGGAGAAAGACCCGTACGAATCGTAACAAAAGCATCCCCTAAAAGTTTTATTATAATTAAAACTGATTAAATATCTGGACTAATTATTCCAAGTCAGAAAATATTTCAGAATATATTTAAAATAAAGTGGGCATATATAACATCACAGATGTGACAGGAGAATATTAGGACACAACCTCCTTTCACTGGCCCTAGAATGAACAGATGACTTCTTGTTTGAACAATGATTATAATGCTGTGATCTCATGGGCTCATGCATGTTGATGGATGTGTGTTGTTCAGAGAAGGTTCAGATCCGTCCTGGGGAGACCCAGCCACCTGGCCCTGCTTCCAAGATTTGGGCCACAGCTATGGTGTTCCGATCTTCATACATGCCACCCACTATCTGAACCCCAATTGGCAGCCCTCTCTTGTTGAGCCCGAGTGGACACTGGGTGACGGGCAGACCCAGGGCATTGAAGATGGCTGTGTAGGAGAAGTTGACTGGTGTTGAGAGAGGCTGGCCGTGGAGCTGGGCACAGCAGGGATGAGAGGGATACAGGAGGATTCCTCCATCATCCAGTAACTCCCTCATCTCTTCCCTAAACTCTGTCAACATCTTCAGGAACTGCGCATTGCTGCCCTCCAGCAGTGGGGTGAAGCATTCTATGACAGTTAGCATGATGGCTGGAAGATTGTGTTTGGATCTCCCGATCAGCCAGCGGAACAACTCAAGAAAGCCATTCACTGACCCGTTTTGTCCAGCCATGAACTCACTGAATGTTGTCCCATCAGATGACGTCATGCGGGCTGACCACATCTCAAAGCTGTACTTCATCCGCCTCAGCTTCAGTGTAGTCACTCGGACCCCCAGAGTGTGCTCCAGATAGTACACAGCCTGCAAGGGGAAACAACTCTTCAATCTGAAACAATTCTATTTCCCTCAGCTGGAAGAAACCATACCACATACAGTCAACTTCTGAACTACTAACGTGTCTGAACTAAGTATCTTCTGAACAGAGTAAATTCCATGCAGGAACATGATATCAAAGCATACAGATCCACAAAAGAAACCCTCCTCAAGAATCAAAATGTTGAGTTATATATTTCAAGAGAAGCTGAATAAAAAGTGGATGAATTTCCAAGACCAAAAAAACAGGGAGCATACAATTCTAACATTTCAGAAACAGTTAGAATACATTAGCGAATGTCTGATAGCTTGAAGCTGCAGAGAGCCTTGTGTTGGCAGTATGGGTACTAGTGCTATCCTTCTGGAACATAGACACAACCTGTCAGGCAAACATGTAAGGACCTGGTGTCTTTGGATCTGGACCTAGATTTTCGAAACTCTCCAAGTGTTTAGATGATCGTAAGTGCCATACATTGACATTAACTTGCGACTATCTTAGCTCTGAGAGAGCTTCGAAAATCTAGGTGCTGGTCAATACAGCAATGTGATGTTACACTTTTTTTATGTCCTGGATCATGATTTTGGATTACCATTGGACCAAGTCATTCATTCAGATCAAAGGCAGCCCAAATCATCACCTGAATTACCTTCTATCACACATTCATCTGCATAAAGTTTAATGCATCTTTGCCATATTCAAACTCTACAATTATCAAAATGAATAAATACATGAATGAATATAATGTAACTAACCGTATCAACATGTAGGTTCCATATTATAACTGTTCTAATATTTGTTTGTATTTTATTAACATGTGTTTCATATCTGAGAGAAAACTGATGATGATAGGGTACATCAATCTGTTCTAGCTACAGCCATCAACATGTTACATCAATATGCTCAACTCACTTTCCTCTGTGCTGCCACAAGTTCTTGATTCACATTACTCTGGAGCAAGCCTCCTCCATCATTCTCCATTGTGAAAAATCTCAGCCCCTTCAAGTCCACCTGCAAGATTCATACCCTCAGTATGTGTGGGAAGTGAACAGACATATTCATGAGCACTACTGTTTCACTTTGTCAGCAACAGTGGAGCAAAACAACCCATGGCTTCAACAACAGTTAAATAACATTCTAGATTTATGTCTGTTACAACATGGCAATCTGGTAAAGTGATTGATGTTTCAACAACATCCAGAGTACATCACTAATGCTTCACCAACACCCTGACAGCAGTCTCCATCCATTATGATGATTGATCCAACAGTCAGCATGATGGAAAGACATCTTTGCCCATCACGGATGTTTCACCAGTATCCGCACAAAGGTCTTGGTCCATCACTGATGTTTCTCAAACCTATCAACATTCTCATAGCAGTCTAGGTTCATGTCTGGTGAAGTAACAACATTGGTTGATAAAGATTCTCACTTGTTTCTTTAAGTTGAGCTGTGGAGCATCCCCAGACATTATCTGCATCAGAGGTAGGAGATCAGCAGCATAGCGGCATAGTGGCCCAGTCACTAACAGGTCTTCCTGACCCCCCGTGGCTGGGGGGTGCTGGCCACTGTTGTCAACAACACCTGGATAACAACATGACAACATCAGAATCCAACTGAATAGTTTCAACCAATGTCAACAAAATGTTTGGTAACATTATTAAGGTAATAGAGATGTGGCCTTTACTGACTACATGAAACTGTCTACTGTTGTCTGCAACAACTGAACTACATGACACAACAGTCCTAAAAACAAAACAGAAAAGAAGAAAAAACAACAATAATTCTACTCAACAACACAGCAGTTGTTTTTTTCCTGAGAGACATTATTGTCGTGTTGGGGAGAAGAGAGGCAGAGGAACGGTGCAAGTGCCCTCATCTATGGTGGTGTAGCCTGTGGTTAAAGCATTCACTTGTCACGTTTGTCACGTTCGATGACCCACGTAGGTGCACTGTAAGCCCATTTCTGGTGTCCCCACACCCCCATGATATTGCAAGAATATTGCTAAAAGTGACATAAAAATTAACTCACTCACTCACTCACTCACGGTCCTTCATTTTCTATGCCAGTTCTGAGCTATGGAAAAAATGTAGCTCCATATGCAGCTGTTACCTATCCTTGTTCAATTAAAAAGTTGATTTCCACATGACACGTAACACAATCCTTAAAGGTGAAAGTTACATGCCAATAATAGATAGCATAATATATTCTACAAGTCAGGACACAGCTGTACATATCATCATCATGTCAGCACATTGTGACACAAGCACACTACTGACGGTTCATTAACCAATTTAATCATTTTCTGTCAGAGTGACTTATTTTATTATTTTATTGATTTCTCTATTAGAAACATGTTGATTAAAATTTTCAGAAAGTTATAAAATATATATTTGTTTTCCTTAATAATTGATATATATTTAGTTGTATCCTAGTATATAAAAAGAGTTTTTTTTGTAAATGTAAAGGGTTTCGCAAATGTATACTTAGAAAGGATCCTACTTTGGCTACGTTCTCTTCAATCATTGTGAACATAACACCAACAGCCTTTGTACTTAACAGAACTTTCTCTGTGTAGATGATGCAATGAATAAACATTATTGAAAATTGAGTAAGTTAACATCTTTTGTACACGTTCTGTATCTGATAAAGAGATCTTTCGATAACACATCTCAGCCAAGACCTGATCCCATTTTTGACTAACCAAGGCATTCTTTCCTCTCTTAAGTGCATTGCAGGAGTCAGGGAAAAGGTTCAGCTTTGGACATTGGATGGGTTTAATTATGTCTGGGATCCCCCTGATAATCCCAAGATAATCAGAAATGAACTGTGCTTTGCTAACCACACTAAAAGCGAGGCCTCAAAACATGAAGCTCACTAACTCAAGCTGCTAGACCAGCACCTAGAAGATACATCTACTGGGTCAGGTTACAGAAGGATGCAGTGTTAAGTGGCTGAAGCAGGGGATCCCTTAAAAGCATGGAGTACCTGATTGTTTGATCAGCATTCTAGAAGTTGGTGAGTCAAAAATGAGGCATACAACTTTATGGACGACAACTCCTTGTTTCTTGCATAGAGCGACGTTTCGATGTACATGAGCGACGTTTCGATGTACACGAGTGACTTTTTGATGTAGATGAGCGACGTTTCGATGTGTTGTCATCCATAAAGTTGCGTGCCTCATATGTGGAGTACCTTCTTAAGATCTCATGACAGTGGTCTGAACTTGATCTCCACAAGACGATCTTCCAGACTTTGTCACCAAAGCATAATTACTTGAATAAAAGCTTCTAATTCTAGTTAGCTAATATGCCAGTCCTGTTGTTTGTCTGACCACAGCCCTGTGGCTGTCTGTGGCTGTCTGGCTTTCCAGACGAGCACACTATTCCTGAAATGATGCATCTACAAAGACTGGAGTGGGAGAATGAACTCTGTAAAAGAGATCCCAGATTAGATGTTCGATTCTACCAACAGAGTGGCAGAGACATTTGGATTGGACACAGCTAAAGACAACTTCTGTTCAGCAGGGAATCATGTCCTTGATTTTGAGACCTGTACAGCCTTATGGTTATTAGGCAGAAGTATTTAGGTGTGCCAGATGTTGCTTGTTGAACATTTCAGTGTTTAGGATTATCCTCCCCTTGGTGGAGTCCTTTTAGGGGACAAGGAAGATGGGAGTTAGAAACCTGGTATTAAAGTTGGGGCATGTACAATTTAAATGGTCTTATTGTTTAGTAAAGGGGTGATTTTGTCAAGAAAATTTGATTTTTATAATGTGGATAGACTCAAGACTGTTGAAAGTGAAAGGCAATACTCATGATATCGGGCCTTGGTGACATACAGGTCTGTCCAAATAGTCCAGTTCTGCCAAAATAGGCCCAGTCTCCCACATACTGTCAGTGATTTGAACGGCTGAGGGTATGATGCTCCAGCTGTGCAGTACTTTCCCTACTGTCAGATCCAGACCCTGGGGTCTGTCATGCTGGGATTGATAAGGCCCCTGCCTCTTCCTTAGCTCTTTCCCCAACAGGAAGTCTCTCCCAGCCTTCGAGTTATCCTTAAAGATTGTGACAGACATCAGGGTAAATAACTGCCCATCTTGGAATATTGTTGAAGTAACCAAGTCCTTGAGAATAGGGTCCAGTGGACATAGACTTCACCCAAATAGTGTTCTATAGGAACGTTATGGTCTGGGCAAGGTGCCATAGACTCTAGACTAACGGTCATCCAGCCAGCGACCTGATGAAAGTATGTGTCCCGAGGGTTCAAAAAGATCCCTCCGCGGAAATCCAACAGGTCTGATGTGTTTACCTTTTGCTTTTACTTATATTAGTGATTTTAGTTACAAGTGGGCTCAGGAGGTAGTTAGGTGTGACCTACAGCCATGAGCGCTGCGTAGTATTTCTTAAAGGTACACTTTGGAAACTTTAATACAGTTTATTTCAGTAGCCTTTTAACATTTTATAACTTCTTATCAATTATTATGCAAGAAACTGTGTCCCAATAAAATAAAACTCAAATATTTAAAAAGTATATTTTACTTATATTTCAAGATTGATCAGCAAACAAAACACTTACTCATTTTCCTCATATACACTGACATTTGTGAAGTCACCAAGTGACATAACATATCCCGGGTGTCAGGGGTTTTCGACAATGTAAGACAAAAATGTAATTTGTATCTATAATATCATTTAAAGTTTTTATTTTACTAACCTTGAGTGATAAAGGATATAGTCATCTATTTCACACAGAAATATCAAGTTGAAAAAAATAGCGTTGATGACATCGTATTGGCGAAACTGTTGCCGCTCGCCACATCCGGGTATTTTTCCTATTTATATATTGCCTGTCACAAGCAGACGACTGATCTTACTGAATTTTTGCTTACTATGTTTTGTCATAAAGGCAACTGATTTTGCATCTGAAGTGGTATTAGCAATCTCGGGTAAATACTATTGATGTTTCTTTCCTTTTTATAGAAGTTAACTTCTGGATTTCAATTGTCAATAAAACTTCTCACTATAGTGACTGGGCATCCGCCCTGCCGATGAACTGCTCGTGCACTCGCGTTCGCGCACATACTCCCCTGATACAGCGTGAGCAATACAATCGTCGACATCACCAGAACGTCGAATTCAGTTCGTTTTGGGACATTATATGATATTATATGATACTTGTCTAGCACCAATATCCAGCTCAGCTCAGCTGCTCAAAGGTGCTTTGTTTTTCTGTCGATCATAGGATGTCAATCTTAATGACACATTGAATTTTTCACTCTCAACTCCCTGTGGATCATACAACTCTTGCAGCCATTTAGGCATACCATGTTAATGTGGCTTTCTCATTCTTACGAGGTACCCATTCATAGCTGGGTGGACTGGGACACATAGTCACAGTGTTTTACAGAAGTTTACTGCACGTTGCTGTACCCGCAACTAGGTGTTTGCCACCATGTGGCCACCATCTCATTCGTAGGTTCTTGTAAGTGCACAGGGTTGTGTACTGTACACTAGGGGTTGTGACATCACTGAAAGAGTCTGCACACAAAGTTGACTCCTGGTCACAGGTGGGCTCGATCCCGGCCTCTTAAGCTCGCTGGATCACTAGCGCCTTAGTTCGCTCGCCCACTGCGCCCCAATGTGTTTACATTCACACAAGACACTGATTCAGGTGTATCTTACAGTCAGTTATTTTTGTCACGACCTTGTTATTAAATGAATACTAGCCTGAGTCTAGCCATGTTGATGGTCTCAACACAGAAGATGTTATATACCATCGGGTAAATGGAAATGTCGAGATTTCCTTACAGAAGGTATTTCCTTACTTACCTTTGGTGGGTTTGTGTCCATAAACACCATTGAAGAAAGCCGGCATTCGAATACTTCCCCCAATGTCAGATCCTACTCCCATGATGGAGGCTCCTGTGGACAAGATGCAACCTTCCCCTCCTGCAACACAAAACGACACACACGGTTTTACAACAGAAAAAAATATACATCCTGTACACGCCATTGACACATATGAGCATGTGGAATTTATCAAATTCTTAGTAGTGACACGTACTATAAATTTGTTTGATATTCCTGTTTTGATACGATTGCACGATCAATCTTTGTACAGTCCATGATTGTAGAACCCATGTTTGGACAGTCCACAGTTGTACAACCCATGTTTGTACAGTCCACAGTTGTACAACCCACGTTTGTACAGTCCACAGTTGTACAACCCATGTTTGTACAGTCCACAGTTGTACAACCCATGTTTGTACAGTCCACAGTTGTACAACCCACGTTTGTACACTCCACAGTTGTACAACCCATGTTTGTACAGTCCACAGTTGTACAACCAACATTTGTACAGTCCACAGTTGTACAACCCACGTTTGAACAGTCCACAGTTGTACAACCCATGTTTGTAGTCCATGATTGTAGAACCCATGTTTGTACAGTCCACAGTTGTACAACCCATGTTTGTACAGTCCACAGTTGAACAACCCACATTTGTACAGTCCACAGTTGTACAACCCATGGTTGTACAGTCCACAGTTGTACAACCCATGTTTGTACAGTCCACAGTTGTACAACCCACGTTTGTACAGTCCACAGTTGTACAACCCACGTTTGTAGTCCACAGTTGTACATCCCACGTTTGTACAGTCCACAGTTGTACAACCCACGTTTGTACAGTCCACAGTTGTACAACCCACGTTTGTACAGTCCACAGTTGTACAACCCACAGTTGTACAACCCAAGTTTGTACAGTCCACAGTTGTACAACCCACGTTTGTACAGTCCAGTTGTACAACCCACGTTTGTACAATCCACACTTGTACAACCCACGTTTGTACAGTCCACAGTTGTACAACCCACGTTTGTACAGTCCACAGTTGTACAACCCACGTTTGTACAGTCCACAGTTGTACAACCCACGTTTGTACAGTCCACAGTTGTTCAACCCATGTTTGTACAGTCCACAGTTGTACAACCCATGTTTGTACAGTCCACAGTTGTACAACCCATGTTTGTACAGTCCACAGTTGTACAACCCATGTTTGTACAGTCCACAGTTGTACAACCCATGTTTGTACAGTCCACAGTTGTACAACCCACATTTGTACAGTCCACAGTCCACAGTTGTACAACCCACGTTTTGTACAGTCCACAGTTGTACAACCCACGTTTGTACAGTCCACAGTTGTACAACCCATGTTTGTACAGTCCACAGTTGTACAACCCACGTTTGTACAGTCCACAGTTGGAGAACCCACGTTTGTACAGTCCACAGTTGTACAACCCATGTTTGTACAGTCCACAGTAATACAACACATGTTTGTACAGTCCACAGTTGTACAACCCACGTTTGTACAGTCCACAGTTGTACAACCCACATTTGTACAGTCCACAGTTGTACAACCAACATTTGTACAGTCCACAGTTGTACAACCCACGTTTGTATAGTCCACAGTTGTACAACCCACATTTGTACAGTCCACAGTTGTACAACCCATGTTTGTACAGTCCACAGTTGTATAACCCATGTTTGTCCAGTCCACAGTTGTACAACCCACGTTTGTACAGTCCACAGTTGCACAACCCATGTTTGTACAGTCAACAGTAATACAACACATGTTTGTACAGTCCACAGTTGTACAACCCACGTTTTTGTTACAGTCCACAGTTGTACAACCCACATTTGTACAGTCCACAGTTGTACAACCCACGTTTGTACAGTCCACAGTTGTACAGTCCTCAGTTGTACAACCCACGTTGTACAACCCACGTTTGTACAGTCCACGTTTGTACAGTCCACAGTTGTACAACCCACGTTTGTACAGTCCACAGTTGTACAACCCACATTTGTACAGTCCACAGTTGTACAACCCATGTTTGTACAGTCCACAGTTGTACAACCCATGTTTGTACAGTCCACAGTTGTACAACCCACGTTTGTACAGTCCACAGTTGTACAACCCACGTTTGTACAGTCCACAGTTGCACAACCCATGTTTGTACAGTCAACAGTTGTACAACCCATGTTTGTACAGTCCACAGTTGTACAACCCATGTTTGTACAGTCCACAGTTGTACAACCCACGTTTGTACAGTCCACAGTTGTACAACCCACATTTGTACAGTCCACAGTTGTACAACCCGTATTGTACAGTCCACAGTTGTACAACCCATGTTTGAACAGTCCACAGTTGTACAACCCACGTTTGCACAGTCCACAGTTGTACAACCCACATTTGTACAGTCCATGTTGTATTTGTTTCACTTAAACACAAAGCACAGATCCAAATAAGGAACCAAGAAGCACACATGGCATCAAACATAATATAGATGATTTGTACAGCGCTTGACTCCACAACACTTGGCATCAAACATAATATAGATGATTTGTAATGTGCTTGATTCCAGAACACTTGGCCATGCTCTAAGCGCAAACACAAGACAGTCAGTAGCGAAGAAAAAGAAATGTCTTTAGTTGAGATTTAAAACTAGAAAGAGTTGGAACAGATTTAATGTCCAACAGGCAGAGAGTTCAGCAGGAAAGCAGCTGAATGTTTGAAGGATCTATGGGACCCCCATTTGGTTCACTCCCAAAAGACAAACCACCCATAAGACAGACTCAATGAGTACACAAATCAGCTGAGCCATGCTGTCCAGAGCTGACCCAGACTCACTACAGAGTATAGTAACAACTCGCTCCTATCTCCTGTGCCCTTCTCAAAACATATTACTAATCCTTTTACTGAACAGAACAGAATAGAACCAAAATTTATTCTAAAAAAATCACATATAGTGACACAGAGAACATACAGCATATTGATACATATTAAAACACTGAACAAAGTCCAGTTTTGATAAATTTGGCAACTTTAGAGTTAAGTGGTGAATAATCACATTTCATTAGATAACCCATTTTTTCAATAGTAGGATGTTTACAGAAATATTTGGGAAGAATCTACAGTTAAGTGTTTGTACTAGAATAAGTGCCCTGAACAAAAGCATTTAACAAAACACAGTCAATGGTCCATTATGTTATTGTGTCTACCTGAACTTCCTCCTACGATGTGACTGGTGCTGTAGGCGTTGTTCGTCCTGCCGTACACATTGTTTGCCGACTCATACCACATGCAGAGCTCGCTGAGATTGGTGAGGACGAAGGGAATGGCTCCTGCAGCCTCAAGATGCTTCACAACCGGAGCCGTTGATGTGGCCTTGTTGTCTTTCCTTGTCCACAGACCAGAGCTGTTGGGCATACCTGAACACAGCAGGATAACATGGACTCACCGGAAACCAACGTCAGCTTCATGAAACTGTTCACAGTGCCCGACCTGTACATTCAGTGCTTGTCCTCTAGTAGACACAGGTAAGAGTTGTAGTATGCTTGCCCACCTTCCTATGCTTACCACATCTGAACATTGTTACATCATTACCCATTATCATTATATCCCAACATATTTACATATAGTATGTGACTTGCTTGCCCCCACATCTGATCAATATAAGATACATGGAAGCCTCAGCCTCCTGAAACAATGTGTGAACAGCCTTATGTTCCCCCTTTACCTCCCATCACAGTATTTAAACGGTATGTGTTCCTCTCCAGCAGTAGTGGTGGTGGTGGAGGTGATGGTGGTGGAGATGGTGGTGGTGGTGGTATGAATATTAAGTGTTCATTCATTTTTTTATCAATAGATGTGCGGTGAGATCTGAAGGCTTACCTTTTACTTGAAATGATTCTTTAACAGACAGTGGCACTCCCAACAATGGTAGGTCTTTGATAGAACTGTCGTCCTCAGCTAGTTGCCTGTCCACATTTCCCGCTGCCTCCAAGGCATCTGAGAACCTATCCACAACTACAGCGTTGACCACTGGGTTGACCTCCTTCACTCGCTGTATGAATCTTTGCATCACCTCAACAGCGGTCAGCTGCAGCATAAACAATAGTCACATACTTGTCCTCTATCTTGTTATTAGTAAGAAAACAGTACCATACATTAGCACATCTTTACATTATAGTCATAAAAGGGGGATGAGGTAAGGCAAGGGAACTTTTCTTCTCCATCATTGTTTGATCAGTGGCGAGTCCAAAATGAAGCATGTGTTTATTGCACAGAGCGACATTTCAGCATAGATTCTTACACCGTTATCAAGCTAAAAGAGCTTTTAGAACATTTAGCTTGATAATGGTGTAAGAATCAACATCAAAACATCACTCTATGCAATAAACAAGAAGTTGTTACCCATGAAGTTGTATGTTTCATTCTGGACATCTCCATCATGTCCAATTCGTCACAGTCATGACTGTAATGCCTGAGAAGAGTGAGTGAGTGAGTTTAGTTTTACGCTGCGTGCTCAGCACTATTCCAGCTACATGGCAGCGGTCTGTAAATAATCCAGTCTGGACCAGACAAAACAATGATCAACAACATGAGCATCAATCTGCGCAATTGGGATATGACATGTGTCAACCAAGTCAGTGAGCCTGACCACCCGATCCTGTTAGTCGACTCTTACTAAAAGCATGGGTTACTGAAGACCAATTCTAACCCGGATCTTCACGGTTGATTTATTCATTGACTGAGGTTTGAAGCCAATACAATTCACATTCCTACCTTTTTTGTTCGGATACGATCCGCAATCTCCACGGCACTCAAGAGCAGCACTTCATCAGTAACTGGTGAGACAGTAGTGGCCGGGTACCACCATGTCAGTATTGCTGAAAGAACAGGCTGAAGGAATGTCTGGAGAAGAAGGAACACACACCTCACTGCCTGTCGAAGCAGCCTCACTACTGGCTGCATTCTGTAGCTGAAACATCCAACACCATAATTGTATAATACTGTCTTCATCACACAACCAACAGCATCATTCATTCATTGTCTAACACTGCCTACATGATACAACCAACAGGACCATTGCATACCAATGTCTACATCATAGGGGTATTGACAAGGGGTATCAATGTTTATTGGTAGATCCCTGTTGATAGGGCAATGGGTATTGATGATGATGGACAGAACCGTGTTTATCGGTTGATGCATGTCGACCACTAGTCAAGGTAAGCTTGGTTTAGGATAGCTTCCACAACAGGTTGAAGAAGACGGACGAAAGCATGCATAAATGACATATCAACTGTTTTCCTCGCTGATGTCAAAAGATGACAGAAAGCTACAAGCGCAAATAGAACTGGGGACATAACTCTGCTATGCTTAGCACTAGTTCATTGTATCTCAAGTCGTTATTTCAAAATTTGCTGTGGTTAAGAAAAATATATCTTTATGATCTTTCGTCCAGGAGGAAAAAAATCTATTCCAACACAAATATCAAAATTGAAACTGAATACATTTATCATATGTTTACATATAAAACAAATCAAAAGAAATGATGACAATTTACCACTTAAAGAAGGGAATAGCTGATCATACTTAACATATATAGATTCTGATAGTGAAACCATTTATGTGAAAAAATATATATTACATTTGCAAAATCTACATGATAGTTCAAACTGTTAGAAGCAAGACTGGATGATTGTGTGTACTTTTATCTATCTGAACTTTACCTAAGAAAAGTACCAAATATGTACAGCAGTTCTGTGTGTAGATCACTGCTAGTGACAAATGACAACAAAATAACGAGTAAGGAAAGTAATGTCAAGACATGTATTGACTGTAAGACCCCATCTAGCTAAGATACATAGCGTTCACTAACACTAACGTGAACGCTATGTATCTTAGCTCGAGTCTAGACCCGATCGCGGCTCTCGGCTAGGGGGTCACCGACCTACCCTAAACACGACTGACCACCAGGATCGAAGAAGCGCGTGAGAACTAAGAAGCGACAGCCACTGTGGACAGCCTGTGACAGTTCTCACTATAGTAACCTGCGCCCGGTAAACTGCATTGTTACAAATGCCTTACACAGACAAATACAAAAAAAGTCGTCACCTGATCAATGTGTGTGTCACGGAAGTGTGTACTGATTAAGCTCCGCACACCATTCGGCTTCACTTTTTATGAAACAGGTACGCAGATGTTTCACTGCAAAGAGCCATCTCGTTGACAAAGGGTGATTGGATCGAGATCATCGATTTGCTCCTCTTGAAAACTGTTTCACTGTTTCCCAGATAAATATTGCCGCAATGTCAATTACATGTCTCTACATATCCAAATATACCCGAATAGGGCTCGCGAATCGTGTCTATAAATAGTATACCGGAATTCCGATTGAAAATAAAAATAGTAACCCAAAACTGGTTCGCGCAACTAGCTTCGCTCGTAAGTCGGAAGGCATTGACTGAGCCTCTGTCTATTGACATTTGAATATGCGTCCGCTGGCGCAGCATACCAACAGAACCAGACTATAATACAAATTTACCAACAAAAAGTGTATAAAGTACTAGTAGAATAGATTGATTTACGTGAATATCTATTCAGGTTCGAATGAGCTAATATAGGAGCAAATATTCTTATCCACGCACTTTACGGAACAAGCCGAGAAGTTGTGATTGTGTGTGGCTAAGCCAATCAAAACACATTCTAGTTTGTTTGGGGATTCCCCAAAACAAAATTCCCTGGGAGGTTTTACGTTTTAGTTTTCACAATTCTCAACAGAAATCTCCGAATTTCGGAAATGACCGCGACCGAACGGTACGGAATACATACGTGAACAGACAAAAAAGAATGTAAGTATTGAAATATGTAGGTAATCTGACTTGTGTGTACTGGACATTACAACTTATGTACCCAGAACGTATCCCTCTGGAACGACTGACAAAATTTATCTGAACACAAATTTGTATTTGACATGACATTAACGTGAGGGTGACGTCTTTCGACACAGATGTTAGTCTTTACATGTTTGATGATTCGTTTGTTGGATGAATATATTCACCGTGTATATATAAACCGATCAAAATATACCCCAAACATGGCCCAAAGTCAATTAATAATGATTGGTGTTTTTTTTATGTACGAAAGGATATTAACAGGAAGAACTATGCAACATTTTGTGTTTTCTTTACGTTTTTAATATTCTTCGACAATCAAAAACAGATATGGGCAGACATGATGATGGTAAGAGGTAAGATAACATGGTAGAGAAGCACATGTTTCACAAGATGATGACAATCATATATGAAACCCTATGAGCGATCCAGCTGGTTGTTGGGATTATAATAGTCCCATGGACTTTCCCTTGCCCTACAAACTATGGGTCCAGTGGAACCTTACAGGAAATATGAGGTTCCTATAATGAAATAGTGTACTGTATGATGCAGTACTTAATAAAACTGGAAGTAATATTGCTTAAGGAGAAGTTTGTTCGGTGAATATTACTGCAGACAGATCTATATTGAGCAATATACATTTCTTCTGCATCCATTCTGTATATTTGTGCATGTAAGTCCCTGATTAGTCCCTAACAAACTATTAAAGATTATATTGAAACATACTATTAAAGATTATTTAATTGAATTGAATTGTGTGAACTCAGTGACTTGGTTGATGGTATGTTTACATACATGACAACATGAATCATTGCTCATAACTTCAGTCACTAGAGGGTCTGTTAAGTGCCGTGTTAAGCATGTTAAGAAGAAACAATTAAAAAACATAAAAAAACATGTCTGAGCCTGGCATGAATGTTCTGCTTAAGGTAATAACATGACCTAAATGGTCTAATATGGCTGTCACATACACACGCATGCACGTCGTCATATGAGCGAAATATTCTCAAGCACAACGTTAAACCCAATTTCACCTCACCACCCCACCTAATATGGCTGTCTATGTATATTTTCATCATTAATTGGCAAATATGGTTGTAAAAATTGAAAATGACACATTTTACATGGATTTAAAAATAGGCATGTGTCCAGCAATAGAAACACAAAGGTGGTAATACCACTACCGGATGAGGTGTTGCTTGTGGCCTAAATTAAGCAAGTGTTGGATGTTCCACTTCATGGAAGGGTGGGCTTTCACTTGGCACTCTCGTTAATGATAATTTAAAATTTGCTTGCATAAGCATGTATCTATATCAAGTTGTACACAGTCACAACAACCACAATCATCCTAGTGCTGGAACACTTAACCCATACTGAGTCTTGTTTTCAAATTGAAATTGACTTCTTTACTTATGAAAACAGGATATGACAGTAACTCCATTAGCACAAGAGACTAAACAACATTAGAAATTAAGACCATATATAATTTCATAGACATGTATTTTTGCCCACTTACAGCAATTTCTGCATGAGTCATTCTGAAAGTCAGTAAACATAATGATAAAGGTTTTGTAATTGAAAATTATACAATCTTACTGTACAAAATACCATTTCATTACTTTCCAAGATCACAGGCCCTAATGGCAGAAACCTTAAAAATATTGAATCGGGTCCACCACATTCCTTGTTTTGTGGATCAAGGCAAAACTGTGTGTAAGATGTCAATCATTCATGTCTCCTGAAGTTGAACCCAGTTGGCATGGTTATTGTTGCCTCATTCAATTTCCACTGTTATTGTGATCTGTTGACTTTATGGGGTACAAATACATTCCTAGTTTCCATTTAACAAGGAAGATAATTACAGAGTGTGATGATAGAGCATGTTTAGATAAAACATATTAAGTCATCATAACACAAAATATGACAATGTACATGTCATAGCATGATGTGCATGAGGCTTCCAAATGTGTTGTAAACATTGTTATAAAAGATATATATGGCACTAAAACATCAATACAAACGTCACATTGTCATTTTATGTTTCCTGTTCATCCATAAAAGTTAGCAAATATCATCCAACTTTGAAATGTAATGCCATTCTTTTGAAATAATCAGTATGATCTCATCTCCAGCAGACAAACCATTAACCAATAACAAATGTCCCCTCCTCTACCAAACTGCTTACCTCCCATTAAGTTGCATTAATGTTTTTGTGTGTGAATAAGTGAGTGAGTGAGTTTAGTTTTACGCTGCACTCAGCAATATTCCAGCTATATGGCGGCAGTCTGTAAATAATCGTGTCTGGACCAGACAATCCAGTGATCAACAGCATGAGCATCGATCTGCGCAATTGGGAACCGATGACATGTGTCAACCAAGTCAGCGAGCCTGTCCACCCGATCCCGTTAGTCGCCTTTTACGACAAGCATAGTCGCCTTTTATGACAAGAATTGGTTGCTGAAGACCTATTCTACCCCGGATCTTCACGGGTCTGTGTGTGAATAAAAGGAGATGTTGTCTATAAGTGGTAATGTTGTAACATGGGGTGATGGTCTACATGACATAATATTGTTTATGGATTGTATCATCTTGCACATCATCATGATCATTATGAAACATATTATAATTGTCTCACCTTACAGAAACAGAATGAGTGACAGGAACCAGCTGATCCATAAGAAGAGACTTGAGGAGTTTATCAACAGCAACATTGACTACGATGGCAGAGTCACAATCACCTTCGAGCAGGATTTTGCCTTCTACTCCCAGATCTTGCCAGCACCATCACAGCGCCAGACAGCCAACCTCAGGGTCCTCGACACAGACATGCACCATGACCTCCTGCAGGCCAGAGTGCTCAACTGGTGTCGTACTGCAGACGCTGTATTCCCATTGCAGACAAAGAGTGAGTACACCCGTATGTGCTGTACACCTGCAGTAAGCCTGGGTACACAACAGGGCCCAGATCTTCAAAGCTCACTTAGCGCTAAGATTGTTGTAAGATAATGTTTATATATGGCACTTACGACAATCTTAGCGCTAAGAGAGCTTCGAAAATCTGGGCCCTGGTGTCCAGCCCAATTGCTCTTGTCACAAGACTTGTGGAGTAATCAGCATGGTCAGGTGTAAGGAAAATGCTTAGAATCCAGCAAGGCTGTATTGTTTATTTTGAAGGCTCTCTTTTCAACTGGACCATTTCACTGAAGAAATAAGACACAGTTGATTAAAAATAACCATTCTGTAATTTTAAAATTTATGGTTATCTCTCTGGAAATAATACCCTTTATTTTTAATTTTAACTCAAGTGATTTTTTTATAGTCTGATATGGTACCAGTGTATTAATATATGCATGGTTTTTGTGTGATGAGGCTGATTTTGAAAGGTGTTTGTCTGATTAGAATTTGATACTTCATTTTAACCAATCAGAATCAAACATTCTTGATCACTATGGTAGATTATGTTGTCAATTTCATATTTGGGACTAGTGGGAAGAATGTAGACATATGGTGTCAACATTACAGGTGATGGCAACTGTCTGTGCCATGCTGTGTCGTCATTCATCTGGGGTATAGCTGACGACAAGCTTACACTGAGGAAACTCATCAACATTGCTGTCGACACCGATAAAAACAAACGAAGATGGAGGACCCAGTACGAGAGGCAGATCAGCACCACTTCAAGAGACAGTATGAGATTGAATGGAAATGTAAGACTAATCACTTCAAGAGACAGTATGAGGAGGCCTACCGAAGAAAACTTTCCCACTGTGCAGAAAAACGCAGAAAAGCCCACATTAATCGTGGAAATAGCAACATAAACACATTACCTCGCTACTGAAAGAGTAAAAACGGCAACTTTAAATCGCTAACACTGCATCATAAAACGAGGAGCCCGCAACTTCGATTTGCGCATGCGCACATGGAAGAGGAAGTCTCGACCGCATGTTGACATTTTCCAGCTTGGACAAATGTTACATTACTTTTTAAGTATTTCTGTTGTGTTATTTGGCATTTATCATCATGATACTTGTGTGCACACTTGTTTAGTTTACGTTTCATTCGTATCAAACGATTGACAGCAATTATATCGACATATTTAATACTTTTTCTATGTGAGGCGATTCACGGTTGCTCAGAATTTGGAAAGACGCCCGGATCGTAATGCGCATGCGCAGTAGAGGTCAAAGTTCACTGATACAAAAAATGTTGCAGTTTCATGGTTTTTCGTTGCTGTTTTTACTGTTTCAGTAGCGAGGTAATGTGTTTATGCTGCTATTTTCACGATTAATGTGGGCTTTTCTGCGTTTTTCTGCACAGTGGGAAAGTTTTCTTTGGTAGGCCAGATGAGATTGAATGGAAATGTAAGACTTATCACTTCAAGAGACAGTATGAGATTGAATGGAAATGTAAGACTTATCACTTCAAGAGACAGTATGAGATTGAATGGAAATGTAAGACTAATCACTTCAAGAGACAGTATGAGATTGAATGGAAATGTAAGACTAATCACTTCAAGAGACAGTATGAGATTGAATGGAAATGTAAGACTTATCACTTCAAGAGACAGTATGAGATTGAATGGAAATGTAAGACTTATCACTTCAAGAGACAGTATGAGATTGAATGGAAATATAAGACTAATCACTTCAAGAGACAGCATGAGATTGAATGGAAATGTAAGACTAATCACTTCAAGAGACAGTATGAGATTGAATGGAAATGTAAGACTAATCACTTCAAGAGACAGTATGAGATTGAATGGAAATGTAAGACTTATCACTTCAAGAGACAGTATGAGATTGAATGGAAATGTAAGACTAATCACTTTCAAGAGACAGTATGAGATTGAATGGAAATGTAAGACTTATCACTTCAAGAGACAGTATGAGATTGAATGGAAATGTAAGACTAATCACTTCAAGAGACAGTATGAGATTGAATGGAAATGTAAGACTTATCACTTCAAGAGACAGTATGAGATTGAATGGAAATGTAAGACTTATCACTTCAAGAGACAGTATGAGATTGAATGGAAATGTAAGACTTATCACTTCAAGAGACAGTATGAGATTGAATGGAAATGTAAGACTTATCACTTCAAGAGACAGTATGAGATTGAATGGAAATGTAAGACTTATCACTTCAAGAGACAGTATGAGATTGAATGGAAATGTAAGACTTATCACTTCAAGAGACAGTATGAGATTGAATGGAAATGTAAGACTTATCACTTCAAGAGACAGTATGAGATTGAATGGAAATGTAAGACTAATCACTTCAAGAGACAGTATGAGATTGAATGGAAATGTAAGACTAATCACTTCAAGAGACAGTATGAGATTGAATGGAAATGTAAGACTTATCACTTCAAGAGACAGTATGAGATTGAATGGAAATGTAAGACTAATCACTTCAAGAGACAGTATGAGATTGAATGGAAATGTAAGACTAATCACTTCAAGAGACAGTATGAGATTGAATGGAAATGTAAGACTTATCACTTCAAGAGACAGTATGAGATTGAATGGAAATGTAAGACTAATCACTTCAAGAGACAGTATGAGATTGAATGGAGAAATATAAGACTAATCACTTCAAGAGACAGCATGAGATTGAATGGAAATGTAAGACTAATCACTTCAAGAGACAGTATGAGATTGAATGGAAATGTAAGACTAATCACTTCAAGAGACAGTATGAGATTGAATGGAAATGTAAGACTTATCACTTCAAGAGACAGTATGAGATTGAATGGAAATGTAAGACTAATCACTTCAAGAGACAGTATGAGATTGAATGGAAATGTAAGACTTATCACTTCAAGAGACAGTATGAGATTGAATGGAAATGTAAGACTAATCACTTCAAGAGACAGTATGAGATTGAATGGAAATGTAAGACTTATCACTTCAAGAGACAGTATGAGATTGAATGGAAATGTAAGACTAATCACTTCAAGAGACAGTATGAGATTGAATGGAAATGTAAGACTTATCACTTCAAGAGACAGTATGAGATTGAATGGAAATGTAAGACTTATCACTTCAAGAGACAGTATGAGATTGAATGGAAATGTAAGACTTATCACTTCAAGAGACAGTATGAGATTGAATGGAAATGTAAGACTTATCACTTCAAGAGACAGTATGAGATTGAATGGAAATGTAAGACTAATCACTTTCAACATGCCTTGATATGCAACTTATATTTCCTGAACTAGAATTATATAGGGCCTAGATTCTGCTTGATCAATGTTTTCTTGCTATTCATTAAACAGTGTTTCCATTCTCCGGTATATACCTGAAAATCGCCAGTAAAATTTGTTTGGGACTGAAAAAATGAAAACCAGCCGGACACTATGTCCGGTAGATAATCATGTATTAAAATAAAAACAATCATGGGTAAGCGAAATGACAGTCTTGGCTGTGCTTTTATGGTCGTAAAATTTGTTATGTTTCGGAAATACCCAGGCTAAAATAACTTTAAAATGAGTACTTCCAGTATGATAATAGGATATGACTGGCAAATTTAATTCATGACCGGAAAAATTTAGGTCGCCGGACACAGTGTCCGATAAATATTTAAGTCAGCAGAAACACTGTTAAAGTTCATATTATGTTTATGAAACAAAGCCTGATCCTTCTGATTTCATCATTTAGTGTTTTGGCCTTCAAGGCATGCTGACCAGTTTTTAACTTTCATCAACCAATGCTGATCGATGTATTTTTTCTATCAAAAGACATTACATTCTCTTTATTATCCTATATTATTCATCTAACATTTTCAGTTGATAACATAATAACCAATGTCAATAGTGTAAAAGGCACCTAACCAGCTTGAGTGGCAAACAGAATTAAATTAGTGATGTTGTTTGATTGTGACATCATAGTTACCAGTTGGATGTCATTGTTACCAATGATGTCACAATGGTCTGCAAAGCAAATACAATTTCACTCTAGCAATACCTCCTTAATTATATGACTTGGTTTCACCCATATCTCCTGTTTGGGAAAAACACTTCTTCATAAAGCTCATAAAAATCACACACTTCACATTCTCCAACAACATTGTTGATGTAGTAGAGAGACTGATGTGATGTTGCTGATGTCAGTGTAGCATCATGGTGGACTATTGTTCACATGTTGACTGTTAGTTCCGGGTCAAGTAGTACCAGATTTTAAGTATAGAAGATATTACACAATCATGACAGCCACATTATAAGGTGCTGACAATAAGGAGACTATGCATTCCTTTGTCTATCCTACAGATTTTATGAAACTCAAATTGAAATGATGTGTTTTCAGTTAGAAACATTCAGTTTCATTTCATGATATCTAGTTATTTCTTACCTTGAACTGGTAGAAAACTGGATAAATTTTGAGTGCACTTCATTCAAAGTCAATCAAGGTCACTGCTTCTTGTTGTTCTTTTCAATGGTTAAATGCACAGTATAATAATTGCTGACGTCGTTTTTAAGCCTTAGTTTTTATCATGTCTTTATCAATTTATTTGTCTTCATGATTTTATAAATAAGCCAAGATTTCATTGAGATATTTGATATATATCGAGACTAATGTGTTATTGATGCTGTGAAAATACAGTCTATTTGCACCCAAATTTTTCTTTGCCTAGTGGAGTGTGTTGACATGACAGATATTAGAATCAGAACTTTTGACCCTCCTTTTTTTGAGACAAAATTTGTTTGATTGTTTCTCAGTCTTTATATTGTGGATTGACTTAACATGAATTGTTATTGAACTTACATAGCACCTGCAATATTGCTAAATCTATGAAACTGTTGAGGTATTACATACATGTGATGACTGGCTACTGTTGTTTGGCAGGACTGGGAACAGGAATGGAAGGCAGTCGTCATGACAGCAGCACCTACCCAGAGTATGATGGGAGTTGTTCCATATTCTCACCTTGAGGCTATCCATATTTTCACCCTGGCCAAAATACTGAGGCGTCCAATCATAGTACTTGCTGATGCTACAGCCCGTACTCTGTCTGGAGCCAGTCTGCAGGAGAGTGACATTGGCGGCATCTACCTTCCCCTTGACTGGCCAGTGGAGAAGTGCTCCAAGTATCCAGTTGTCCTGGCCTACAACATGAATCACTTCTGCCCCCTTCTGCCACAGATGACCGCCAGCACAGAGAAAGCCTTCTTCACAGTACCAATTGTGACTCATGATAAGTCATCTCTGCCCATCAGATTCCTTTCAGATGAGGAAGAGAAAAATGCAGCTCGGATTCTTAAGTCATACTTGAAAGTGAAGGAGATAGGTGTATCCACAACTGAGTCAATGTCTCTTGTGCTATGCACAGAAATAAAATATGTACCCCTACCTGATCACTTGAGGGTGTTTGAGCAAACAGTGCCAAGTGTGCCAAATAGCTCTTACAGGCCAAGCGCGCTGAACTTGCTGCAACTAACTTTGATATGGCTCCATGCATCACCCAAGGTTGCAAGTTCTATGGTTCCCCAGCAACAGGTAACATGTGCTCAGAATGTGTGGAGAAGTACCTACAGCAGGCACCAGCCCCACGCCTAGCAGAACCAACAGCTCCTCCTGCCTCCATGCCTGTTGCTGCAGAGTATATTGATATGTCTATGATGGGGGAGACTTGCAAAGGAGGCTGTGGGTATAGGTGTTCGATCAACACATACCCTTATTGTCACGAGTGTGCAGAGAGAATGAGAAACCAGGTGTCAGGCTCCATAATTCACCCCAGATCTACTGACATCTCTGAGAACGGCCCTAATGCTATCTCTTACCAAGAACAAGGTGGATTTTCTGAACCACAACCCAATGCCATCTCTCGACAGGGACCGGGGTAATAACTCTCAAGCACAGCTTGGTGCCACCTCGCAAGCACGACCTAGTGCCATCTCTCAATCAATCATGCACTCAGAGGATTATCTGTTTGGCCATGGTGGTTCTCAGCAGGGGTTGGAGCAGCCTGAAACATTAACTTGTACAACAGAAGGATGTATTCAGCAAGCAAAAGCAAAGCTTGGTGGACTGTGTGAGAAGTGCTACATGAGAGTGAGAGTGGAGCTGGTGAAGCACATCTGCATCACTCCAGGCTGTGATGGACCCCGAGTCCATGATGGGTACTGTCAGCTGTGTAGGTCAAACCAAACTGCAATTCACCATCCACCAACAAGTGCACCAGGAGAAGAAAATCAGAGAAAGATAAACCAGCAATCGACTGGACTGACCGACAGACAGGAATCAGAATCAAGTGAACAGGAAGGTAGTTTACTGGAATCTGGATCAAAATGTAATGCAGAAACAATGAAAATAACGGTGCTCAAAGGGCCCGAGGACAAGATAGCATGCGCTAGCCCAATGTGTAACACACTCATCTATCCACCAAATAAATTGTGCCAGAACTGCATTGACATCCTAAGACAAAGCCAGGCACTCCAGCAGCAGCAGCAGCGCTCGTACGTAGAACAACTACAGCCAACCGTGGTGTCACTGAAGCAAGAAGAGCTGCCAGGATCAGCCAGAAGTTCAGGTGAGAGGATTAAATTACATTTGTGACGTAATTCTATTGTCTGCTCGCTCCATTACTTTTCAGGAATGGAGCGATGTGTACCAGTTTCAAATTAAAGCCTTCATTTTGACATTCTGACATCTAATTTTGATAACAGAAATATTCCCAATATTTTGAATGTAATTTAAGCAGGGTAATATCCTCGTAACTCTCCATTCTCCATGTACCTCGGGCCCTCCGGGGCCTCGGCTCCATTATTTTTAAGGAATGGAGAGTTACTCAGACATTACCCTCTACCTAATGCAGGGTCATATTCTCAGGACAATTTGTCTTATACACTGGTGGAGCGGACAGTTGCCACAGGCTCAGGGAGGCCAAAATGTTAAGTAGGGAGAGCCTAATTGGACACATCTCAGGAAAATATGAAATATCACCCTGCTTATTTGTTTTGTCACGATGATGAAAGGACTGAGATCAGTGATCAGGATTCAAGTTTGTTATTCATTTAAATAGATTTCATTTTCAATGCTGCAGTTTCCTAAAATGGTCATTTTCTTGTCTGAAAGAAGTTCAAGGTCAGTTGTACTATGTTTACAGGCTGCTGATATATACCAGAATTTGGTAACCATCATTTAGTCTTTCATTACAAAGTGAGAGGTTTTGAATGATTCTGAACCGTTATTCTGAGACATTGTCTCTGTGAAATTCGTGACATGAGTAATTGTTTCTGTGTTAATTGTCTTGGGGAATTATGGCAATCATGAATTGCAAGAATGCCAGACTGATATGAATCAGATCATTTGAGTTTGCAAAGTAATATTTGACCTTGACCCAAACTTCCGGGGAGAGCCATTGGTCCCAGTCTAACCAACATGAGTTTATATATTGTGTCTTGCAGGAAGAAGTAACAACAGTGCCCCACTGGCTGTCAGGCAACACATGGTGAAGGTTCCCCTTGCAGAGAGTCAGCGCCCTAACTCAGCACCGGTAGGACGGAGATGCCTCACTCCTGGCTGCAGCAGGTTTGGTGACCCATCAGCAGAGGGCAGGTGCAGTGCCTGCTGGACAAGGATCTTCAACCATGGGTCAATAGCGGCATCACCTGACCTCGAGGCCAGCACCCTTGGTGGGGGTGAGCAACAGGACCCATTCCATGCCATGATGGCTCGGATAGTCAGTCAGAAGAGGAGTCCTAAACATTGTAAAATGTCTGGTTGTACTAACTTCGGTAACCCTAACAGTGAAGGGTTCTGCAACAGTTGCTACCCATCTTACTTACAAATCACAAAATAATTTTTATGTGGTGTTGAACAGACTTTGTAGAGAGAGTTGGAATGCCACTTATGGCAATATTTCAGCCTAATGGTGAGCATGAGATGAATGGAATTAAAATGTTTGTTTGTTTTTCACATAGGAAGACTAAGCTGGGGTATTCAGCATGACAGGTCAATGCTTTAATCTTAGGCTATCCATCTTCCCTCTTGAAGATAAGTAGGCACCCACTGATATTTAAATGTCATGGTCGGTATCTGTACCAGTTGTTTACCAATAACTTATGTTGTTTTGTTGTTTATTGTCAATAACTTTGTATACTGATGTTTTTGTGTCACTTGGTATCTAGAACACCTTCACTTGAACTGTACTGGCTAAGTTTTAATCTGTTTTCAATACATACAAGTACCTCTCAATATTAGCCCATCCTTCATTTTACATTCAGAGAAACACCCTTGACTAATCTTCCACCATGATCATTTTCATGAACAGAATGACATGACTGTGTAATTACCCTGTTATTTTGTGATTGAAATTGCAATGAGAAGCGATATCACTAGTTCTTGACTGACCTTGTTGCAAACACTTTCCTTTATAGGCAGGAAAATAGTTGCTTACAGTCATCTGATTCTGTTGAATATATATCAAGTACTTGCTCTTATAATACTTTCAGAATTAGAGATATGATGGATCTAAGCTGCATCATTTTGATTAGTTGATGTCAAAATGAGAGAATTTCTAAGTTAAGTTGTTGATGACAAAGATTGAGATTGTACACAGGTATTTATAATTAATGGTTTGTTGGATAATTAGGAATATCATCTGTGAAGAACTGATAAATTTCAAATGTGGGCAAAATGAAAAAGTACTCCTATGACAGAAATGCTGCTTTTCCTTCTTCACCCATTGATGTGTTTAACTCTTGACATTTAATGGTAGGAAAAAGATCTGATTATGAAGTCATTACAGATAAATATAATTTTGGTTTAATATTTTATAGAAAAGCATCAAATTGTAAGTCATACAATCACATTCTGTTCATTACATTTTCAAGACTAAACAAATCTTCAGTACCTGCACCTTAGGATTCCTTTTGTTTGTCAATATTTGACTTTCAACCTGCTTGGCTGTGAACTGACCCCACTCACCTCACATCATGTTATTGTACATAGTGTTCCAATACTCCAACTAAACTTGCTGAACATGTAATTGTTGGCGTAATGATCATAGATGTCTCTGAAAGCCTCTTACCCCACCCTTTCTTAACTTTCTGAAAAATAGGTGAAAATCTTATATGTGTATAAATTTGTTTAGCTTTGGTATATTGATGACACAGGCCTTCCTTGATTTGTATATTTCCAAGATGTACATGTGAATGTAGAAGATATAAGATGTGAAACCAAAGGGACATTCATGCCCCTAGATATACATATACTTCATGCAGAAATCACCACATCAGTGGGGTCGCATACAGAACTGTATGTCATGGTGATCTTGTGGAAATGATTTCTTGTCCCGATTCTACTTGTATTTACTAAATTGTCAGTTATCATTTCTGTGTACTAAATAATAAACAGCTTTGAAATTCTCACACTTCACAATGTGTTTTTTTAAAAATATAATATACTTTTGATAGTTATATTGTCATACTGCTCATTCAAATAAACTGTCTGTTGATACTGAAGGACTGGGAGAAACCTGACAGACAAACCATGTGGCAAAACTTGAAGGAAAACCAAGTTCTATGGATAGTCAACTTCTTTATTGCAATGAGTGCGATGTTTTGGTGTAGGTACTATAGAAGTTGACCGAGCCTGTACCATCCTGTATACCTCTCCACTGACATGTGTGTCACCCATTTTGTATAAGACGGATACTGCATACCTAATCGCGTGAGTGAACATACGGACGTAATAGTGTAAGGTGTACAGGTAAATGATCTTGGCAAGCAGCTTCTAGAGTTTCACCTTGAATACCCAGGCAACCGTATACTTGGCTTAACATAGACTGAAATCAGAGTGCTCAGACTACCACGTAGTCTCTGACTATACATATTGTTTGATAGCAACAAATACTTCCGTTTAAATTGAAAAGAAGCCCCAGTGAGATAGGAGATTCAGAAGCCCAGGACACCCAGACTCCACAATTGCATTGCAGAACAGGCTGGGCATGCTAAGTTGTTTGTAGTTGTGTGTACATGAGATTAGGAGTTGACTTCTAATAGCCAGAAGTAATATTAGAAACAGTAGCTGTGTTTAGCAAACATTTCAAACAATGAACACAAACATTTATGTTAGCTTAGTTTTGAACACGTCGCATTACCGGAGAACACCTGAGGTTGTACACCAACCTGCCACCAAGATTTGAATACAGACTGTTTATAATCTGTCGCTGGATCAGGAAGTTGGGGGAGACCTGTCTCGCCTTTAAAAGGGGACTGACTGTCAACATTGTCATCTGCCATATGTCCCCACGATGACCGTTGGTGGGCACATCGTAAATTCGCTTTAGGATTTCTTACTCTTGTTTGCGTTTCTAAAGTTTCTGTCGTAATTATTAACAAGCACAGTTAATACCGAAGAGAATATGACAACATGGAAACAATGTGAAAGTATTTTTAAGAAAATGTATAAAGTATGCTTGTTAAAGTATGGACTGTGTACACTGTTTGAAAAATGTGAATCAGATATATTACCTGCCATTTCCAGGGATTATATACATTCCTTATAACGTAAACTGCCAAGCAAAGTGTGTACTCGTGTTTGGTGGCTTAAAATGAAACCAACAAGATATATCGCAATATATTCTATATCGCCTCATAAATAGACGGGTTATCCTTGTGTACATACTGAGGATGTTAGGGAAATGGATGGAAATTGGTTGAGGTCACGAGCTGGATCGGGTACTCAGATCCCATATATACTTTTATCATCCTTCATTACGAAGTGCTTGTACAATGAGAATCATAAGATTATATCAGAAACAGAGAACGGCTCAGTCTTCTCACCATCATTCCCTCGGTACTGGAAGACAGTTTGTGTTTAGTAATACACAGTACACATCTTGTACACGAACCGTACAGTAGTCAGTGTGAATTGTGATCTATCACTTTCACTTAAAGTGAAGATAGGATTGCAGGATAGCAGATTTATTGTAAAGAAACACACTGAAGTCAATTGGTCTAATATTGGCAAATTCACACCACAGACCATCCCGCACTTCAGATGTATATTCACATGACGTTTGGATGTGAGTCAAGGAGTCTGAAAAGAAGGCACCACAGTGTTCACACAGATTTTAACAGTTTGTAAACAGTTACCACTTTCATAAAATACCCCATAGAATGTATAAGGATTGGATTCTTCTGCGCAGCTACCCAACCTGAGTGAACAGATCATGAAGAGTGAATGTGTTCCAATTCTTTGAGATCTGGGTCGTTATGACTTCGCAAAGTCCAAGATCTCGACTGGAAGTCGAATACTGCACCTTTTACTTTCTTTTTCCATATCGAACTTGGCCTCCATCGTCAGTTATAGTTCTCAGCTATCAGCAAAAATGTCTTTAGACCGCTGTATGATGGGCTCACCAAGGCTATGTCATCTGCCTGTGTTTGACCAAATGTGTTAAGATCTAGAATAAATTAGCCTCTATTAGCACGAGTCAGTTCTGACAGGAGTTCAATAATAAATTAAAGGTAGAGTCTGGCGAACACCTTGTAGTAAAATGAACCATGTTGATTGGTAGTTATCACAGAGTTCATCATACGAAGATACAATTTGTCAGATGTACGCCACATCTGGCCTCTGACACAGTTTGACCCTCAAACCATCATGCCAAACAGTGTCAAATGCCTTGGAAGAGTCAAAGCAGGCGACACTGACATCTGACTGCAGTTCATGGTAGTAATGAATGGTTTCCTGTACATTAAAGGATGATTGCAGGGACGACAAGCCCGGTTGGTACCCATCTGCTGTCCGTTTGGGAACACATCTAGTTGTTTTATTGCGGGGAGAAGAGGAAGTAGACACATTTCAAAGATGTGTTCAATAACAGGAGTTAAAGAGATCCCTCTGTATGAGTTTGGATCATTACGGTTCTTCCTTTGAAAACTGGTACACTTACGCTATCCTTCCATAGCAATGGTATAATGCCTGAGCTTATTACAAAGATACACGTGGTTATTCTGATAACACATAAGTCAGTCACCCAGATTGCATAGCACAAGCGCATGTGAAATATATTATCCTCGGTGAAAAGTTCGTAACTTGATGCATTACGCAATCAATAATGATTTGTGGACTTACCTCAAAGGCATTTCTGGCTTTGTATATATTTTTAAATATTTATATGATTAATGCATGCAAAGTTGAACAGTCTAATCATAAAACCATTCGTCTATGTTTGAAAGACTTTGCAGGATGTCAAATTGATCTAACAAGACCATTATTGGTCTATTGAGAGACATGATTCTCTGAACGTATTCGCACACGCTCTGTTCACCGAGTTGCTAACACACATGCAGCAGTATGGTGTTGATGATTTGTCTTTGATTAACACCTATGGAACACGTTCCATAACCAGAAATATAACGCAATAAATTATTTGCATAATCAACAGAAATCTGCTTGAAGCGTACGATCATGACTATATCAGCATTTTTTTAATATATTGCTTTCAGTAAATTGAATCTATCAATGGATAAGTGTGACAAATTGATACGCAAATCAAACAACTTCATCGTTGTAGTGAAAGTGATTAATGTTGTCATGCAAAGTGTGGAAATATTGGGCTCATATAGACGGACATTGCACAATTATCAACTTGCTTGTTATGTTGATTAAGGAACTTTTAATTAAATACTAATAATAATCGGAGCTGTGCTCAAAGATAATTCACCGGTAAACCTTTTCTGCAATGTTTAGATGCAACGAGACATTGGTATGGCCAATATGGGGGCTTCACAGCGTCGCCTGGTAATAACGTTCAACTGCATCCAGGCCACCATCAGTAAATTGATAAACCTAACCAGCAAAACCATCCAGACCCAAGACCGCCCAAGATCGGAAAGCCCACGAGTGACGACACCGGCCGAAGACCGCTTTATTCAGCAGATCCACTTCTGGAACAGATTCGTGACGACGATGTCAACGGCGGCCATAGCGCTGGGACACGCCATCAGCGGACGAACAGTCCTTGGCGACTTGGTATATGAGTCTACCGCCCCTTCCGTGGAATGGCCCTGACCTGTCCACACCGTCAACACAGGCTGCACTGGGCACGTCGGTGGCCGCCACAGAACTGCGTTCATCAGTTCAATGGAGGAAGCGTCATAGAATGGGGCGGCATTTGTGGCCAGAGAACAACATGACTGGTTATCATCCGAGGAAATCTGAATGCCCAGCGAGACCTGGGATGAAGTGTTGAGACGTTAACGTTTTTTGTGATGACCTTTATTCGACAACAGACAAGAGGAGTAATTTTGCAGCAGGACAACGCAAGGCCTCACACCACCAGAATTGTTCGAGAATACCTGCACAATGTTAACGTCAACGTATTGCCTTGGCCAGCGCATTCTCCAGACAAGAACCCCATTGAACATCTCTGAGATCATCTTGATTGTCAGCTGAGGCAGCGTGTACCACCTCCAGCGAGCCGACAGGAACTTGAACAGACTCTCTTTGACTTAACAGTATTCTTGCTGACGTCATCCGCCGACTGACGATGTCATTGAGCAGTCTGTGTTGTCGTGTATGGATGCCCAGGGTGGTCACACTCGCTATTGATGACGTGTCCCCTGACTCCTGTGCATTATGTGACACTTTATGCACATTTTTAATGAACTCTGATTTATGTCATTTAAATTTTAATCCCTTGACTCTTTAGTGAGCTGCGGCAAATGCAAGAAGAGCATTACAATGGATTTTTAGTTACATTATTGGAAAATTATTTCAGTTTGTAAAATAATTATCATAAATCTCACATACGTTGTTTCTATTGTTTGGTCAAGTGAAGTCGGTGATAACTTTCTTTTGCTGGCAGTTTAGCAATGACTTTAAGTCATTAAGATGATACTAATTAAAGATCATTCTCAGAATGATATATTGGAACACTACAAACGATGTTGTTGAAGACATATCATTGTATCAAATCGCCTGTATCAGAAGAGTATTTATGATAAGTACAAACGCGTGAAATTGTGGGCATCAGCACTCACGTTCACGAAGTGAAGAAACAGATATCATTTGACAAGTAAGCGCCAGTATCATTCCGTATACATTTATAAAATATGTTCAGACATATACCTTATATCAAATGTTACATTTCCATTGCTAATTGTGCATAGTTGCGTCGATTCGAATATTTTCATTACTAATTGCCTCTCACCGATTTAAGCACCTGAATAAAAGAGGCTAGTGAAAACTCTACATGTTTCATATCTTATCTGAGCATGATATCTGCTGTGCATAATCTAACAAAAATCTCTCCTCAAAACCGACTAACACGAGGGGTGGCTTCAAGTTTATAACTGTAATACATTTATTCCAAATAAGGTAGTAACTATAAGATCACGTGACACGCCATGAACGAATAAATTCACTCGAAGACTAATTAGGCAAAGAAACCGCCAGCATAAAATAGCAAAATGTTGAAATCAAGACAATGATTGGATAAAATTCAGAAACTTAAAACTAAGGTAACATCAGCGGTAAGAAAAGCTAAATCAGATTATTGTTCTAAACTTGATGATAAATTAAATAACAGTAACATTTCATGACAACATGACAACAAAGACCATTTCCCCTCTACATCACAATGGTATCATCTATGAAGACGCAAACGAGAAGGGAAACATATTTAACGATTACTTTAGTGACCAAGCCAAAATTGGATTCCCAGACAAACAGATACCAGATGTAGAATATAGAAAGGAAAATGTTATTAAGTGAAATTGTTTTGACAATTCTTTCATCAGTTGACATAAACAAAGCAAGTTGCTCTGACCAAATAAGCAATAAGTTTATCAAGCTAACCGCAGACTCACTTTCTTTGCCCCTCACATATATGCATTTAAAAAGTCATCGCAAGGGCGTATTTTTTCCCACTATATGGAAAGAACTTCGGTATTTCCTTTGGATAAAAGGCAATGTAAATGAATGCCACAATGCCACAAATTTGCAATCATGATTTATGCCAGGCGATTGTACTGCTTATCAACTCACATATCTATATGGCTTTATAGCAAATGCTTTAGATAATGGAAAAGAAGTAAAGGCGTTTTCTGTGACATTAGTAAAGCTTTTGACAAAGTATGGCATACGGGTATTGTTTAGATTAGAGGCTTATGAAATACGTGGTAGTTTAATTGATGGTTTCGCTGTTATCTTAGAAATAGAGTTCAAAGAGTAGTTATAGATGGCCGATCATCAGAAATGAAATATATATCGGCAGGAGTCCCTCATTGATCAATCTTAGGGCCGCTTCTGTTCCAAGTATATATAAATGATGTCATACATACATGGCATCAACAGCAATATTGGACTATCTGCTGATGACACATCAGTGTATATAAAAATGATGCCATACATACATGGCATCAACAGCAATATTGGACTATCTGCTGATGACACATCAGTGTATATATAAATGATGTCATACATACATGGCATCAACAGCAATATTGGACTATCTGCTGATGACACATCAGTGTATATATAAATGATATCATACATACATGGCATCAACAGCAATATTGGACTATCTGCTGATGACACCTCAGTGTATATATAAATGATATCATACATACATGGCATCAACAGCAATATTGGACTATCTGCTGATGACACATCAGTGTATATATAAATGATATCATACATACATGGCATCAACAGCAATATTGGACTATCTGCTGATGACACCTCAGTGTATATATAAATGATATCATACATATATGGCATCAACAGCAATATTGGACTATCTGCTGATGACACATCAGTGTATATATAAATGATGTATATGGCATCAACAGCAATATTGGACTATCTGCATGATGACGCATCAGTGTATATATAAATGATGTCATACATACATGGCATCAACAGCAATATTGGACTATCTGGTGATGACGCATCAGTGTATATATAAATGATGCCATACATACATGGCATCAACAGCAATATTGGACTATCTGCTGATGACACATCAGTGTATATATAAATGATGTCATACATACATGGCATCAACAGCAATATTGGACTATCTGCTGATGACACATCAGTGTATATATAAATGATGTCATACATACATGGCATCAACAGCAATATTGGACTATCTGCTGATGACACATCAGTGTATATATAAATGATGTCATACATACATGGCATCAACAGCAATATTGGACTATCTGCTGATGACACATCAGTGCATATATAAATGATATCATGCATACATGGCATCAACAGCAATATTGGACTATCTGCTGATGACACATCAGTGTATATATAAATGATATCATACATACATGGCATCAACAGCAATATTGGACTATCTGCTGATGACACATCAGTGTATATATTTGTAGTTGACACATCAGTGTATATATTTTTAGATGACACATCAGTGTATATATTTGTAGATGACACATCAGTGTATATATATTTGTAGATAATCCAGACAAAGCAACACGATATTTTAATAATGATTTGAATCGTATTTCTGATTGGGCCAATATGTGGCAAGTAAATTTTAATCCAACAAAAACTGAAACGATTATATTTTCCCGCAAGGTAAATCTCTCTGTATGTTCACCCATAGGAATGAAAGGAACGCAAGTAAATGAAATATATTTCATAAACATTTAGGTGTTTATCTTCAAAAAGATTGTTATTGGAAAAACATATTGACAAAATAGTAAAGGTTATAAGTCCTATGGTAAATTGTTTAAGAAGCTTCAAATATAAATTAACTAGACATACATTAAAACGTATGTATACCTATTTTATCATCCAAAACTGTTCTCCTTCCAAACAGAGCTCGCTCCAAATAGAAACACAACACATTCAGAACATTGGAACGGCCGCTCGGATATTTGTAACTTTATCAACTCGTGTTGATATAATTGATATCTGTAGACACTTGGGTGAGATTCTCTATATATACTTCCAAATTTCGATTATTGTTGCTTCATATGGGACAACTGCACGGAGGATCATTATATGACTCTAGAACATTTACAATTTGACGCTCTAAGAACGATGTGTGGAGCTGCGAGAGGAACTTGTCATGATAAAATCTACAAAGTCACCATTTCATACAATTAGTTAAACGAAGAGAAATAAAACTTTTTTCTACAAAGTGAATAATAATCTTACTCCAAACTACTGATATGGTTTAATTCTAGAACATATTTCGGTTTTAAGTTCTTACATTCTGAAAAATACTGATAGAAATTCGCACAATTCGTTGCCATGCACTCGTATGCACGCTCCTCTTTACCTGATACCATACGTTTATGGTTAAATGTACGACCCGAAATAATTAGCTCAAAATCAGCAAATTCGTTCAAAACACGATTACAGACCACACAAGGAAACACTCTCTTTGATAAAAACTTTGCATCTGGATTTTGTCAAATATCCCATGCTCGCCGCAGATTGGGTGTAGTGACGCTCATAGTTTTCATAGACATATTTCAAATAATCCGAATGTATGTGGGTATACATGGGAGATTCTCTCGAGTACTTCTTTTTTTGCCCCTGTTTTGACTTAATAAGATCAGATAAATATTTGTATACTAGTGGTTTTGACTTGAATTCAATTCTTTAAGGTAATCAAACTTCTACCAACAGAATTAATCAGTTTATTCTTGCCTCTGATCATGAATACATACTAATTTCAAATAGATTCAAATTATTCTAAACTCTTATGTATGCAATTACTATGAACGCTTGAATGTAATTTTGTGAATACTTTCCTATCATTATCCATTTCTTGCCTTTGTGGAATTAATTGCCTCTGTACTTTGTTTGAATATAATTAGTGATTGTGTTTTGTTATATCTAATGGAGCGGCACTTACATAAGCCGTTGGCTTGTTGTGCCAATCCATATTCATGTAATTTTTACTTCATGAATAAAGTATGTTCAAATACAAAAAGTTTATAACTGTTAACTTTCCCATTATGTCGAACAATATTTCAGCAATTTCATCTTTTGATGTCTACATTTTGCAATTCTTTCGAGAGACGAAAGAACGCTTTAACCCATGTCAACCCTGATTTTCACTGATCCATTCCTATTTTCACCACTATATTGCACTTTACGTCTACTGAAATTTGTTTCAGTAATTGAGATTATTCTCTCGGTGTTGACATGAAATGTTTCATATTACAAGGAAATTGGTACATGTGAATCAACAAATGGATATGCATTGATAAGCACCTTCATTCAGATAAACATCGGCACCATGTACAATCATGAAACAGTGAGAACACAACCCCTTGAAACACTAAAAATATATAAATGATTGAGGTTTAAAAAAATATTTTCATGCCCACAAAAGCGAGGATACTATCTTTTGACCAATTACTGAATTACTTGTGCAAATCAAACTTCGAAACAAGCATCTGATAATATCGTTTTATGTAATTTGACTTTATTGATACGAAGCGCGGTGGTAGTCCCGTGAGTTGGACCTTTGGGTCGAGGTAAAAATCCTTTGATGTTTGATGTTGCGACAACGGTGTTGCTTTAAGGGATTAAGGCACTGGTTTTCTACAAAATGTAAAATGTGTTCATTTAGGAAACGAAATAAGACGTGTACATATATGTGAGTGAATCCATATCAGTGAGTGTGTTCACTCAATAACTTTGATTAGTAATATGAACATTCAGTTCACTTAAGTCATTAGTAGTGAGTTATTCAATTTCTTACATAAACTTTCATGTTAAAATAATGTTGGAAATGTCAGTTTTAATTATCATTTTCACAACTTTAGTTATGGCAAATGCACAGTTAGACTACAAGTTTCTTCTTACTTATCGTGGTGGGAGATACCTATGTGTAAATGGTTATATGCTCCTTGTGAACAAGAGGAAAAGGTGAGAATTGATCACGTGGAGAGGCATTCTGACAGTTCCGAGAGTGAATCAGGTGGTTGACTTCGTCACAACCCAGTGGATAGAAGGTGACCTAGACCTAGGCAGTTGGAACCATTTCAACACTGACGGTCCCCGCACAAACAACAACCTCGAGGGTTGGCAGGGATGATCTTGGTGTGTGTGCGCAGGGAGGCAGAACGAGAAATAGCTTGCTAGTTATACTACACAGTGTTCTCAGTGCGACCAGGAAGTAACTCACTTTTATTAAAGGCCACACTGTCTCTACACCTGTCAGACATATACAGCTGGGCGTCGGAAATCAGCAATGGCTGTTTGTGGATGTTTTCTGCTGGGGCTCCTGGCTGTACTTCGATATCGGGTATGTCACGTTATTCATATACTGTGAACAACGAATTCATTCATTTTCATCATGTCAAATTTTCACTTACTTTCCTGCTCAATTTTTATAAAGGACAAGCAGCAGTAGGTCCCGAGACTGGTTGAAGAACCAGAATATATACCTACATCACCTGCTTCCTGACACAGACCCAGTAGTAATATACAGTATGTCATACACGTTCATATAAAGCATACTTACATTTATGAGTCAGTTCGTAGTTCATACAATAGCTTGTAAGGTAGTCCATGTATACTCATTCTCATATATTCTGATGTGTACAATTCATCTGTTATAGCTTATACATTTTTATATTTACTCATATACATTATGTCATATGTGTTCATATAAAGCATACTTTTATGAGTCAGTTCATATACCTTGCAAGCTAATGCATGACCCACGAATAGATCCAGCAGTAATGTGTCTATATATTTCCCCCGTTGATATTTACCCATGCAGAAGTTACGGCATTTGTGCACGTGGCTTTTTATAATCTTCTGCCCATTCGAAATGGGGTATCCTGGTAGCGTTGTGCAACTGTATGAACACGATCTCTGGTCCACACGGATTATCTATGTTTGACCCACATTCTAAACCTCACGGAACACGACAAATGACTCAACGCATATACATGCAAAATTCGAGTAAAATATACACTCAGTCTGTAACTTTTATGTTACTTGAATGTGCCAAGCCCGTGAGTTTGTGGTGCATTACTGTAATCGAGAGAGCACTGCGGTAAACATCGACAGTGGAGGCCCGTGACATTTTCTTTTAAAAATGACAGTAGTGCCCTTTGGACTAATTTCGAAGTCATAAGAAATGTCTCGTCGTGAATCATATTGATTACATTAGCTGTTGGTGCGGTTTAAAGATAATTGTAGCATTCTGTCAATATAGAATGCTTGGTTCTCAGTCAATAAAACCGATTTATTGTCATCCGAAGTGTAAAATGACTGTCGACAGCCTATCAGCACTGTATACGTTCGACAGGTTAAAATTATCGGATAATTTTGGCGACGAGTTATGTTTACCGTTCTATCCCTTAACGCTGACTGGAGTTATGATAAGACAACCTTTATAGAACAAGGAAGATGGCACTATTGATGGACACCTTCTTTGTTACAATGACAAGGACGTTTAGGTGTAGGTAGCAACACTGTTCTCAAGAAATTGACGTATAGATATGTGAAATAGGAAGGTTATGTATAATATGTGAATAATGGATACTTTTACAATGGTGAATGGTGACAGACTGATATTTACACAACAAATAAAGTTACAGTACATAGGTGTTGCTACTTGTCGTTTTCCAAATTAAAACAACAACAAAAATAAGTATTCTTCTTTCTATTCACCTTTTGCATTATAACATTTCCCCTGTACTGTTAATTTTTCCTCCGTCTCTGTTTCTAATTGTTTGTGATGTAATTAGTTATTGTAAATATCTTTGGAGAGGGATTTTATAAGTTGTAAGAACTTGTCCACGATCATATTCAGATTGTGAATAAAATATGTTTAAATTAAACTTATAAACATAAGCCAGAAATTTATACGCAAATGAATAGAGTGTGAAACCAGCAAACGACAGGAATGTTGTACAATTAACAATTTCTGCTTCACAACTGACTAAGTTTAGGTAAGAATACAAATGACAGCAGATTACTGCAGATCAATTAACATGACATAACACGACAGAGTGGCATGCAAATTACAATGACCATATGGGGACAAAATAGCAATGGTAATAGCAGTAGTGTGAGTGATAACAGATACAGATGCCAAGCTTCTAAGATAGGTCCCGGCTGGATATCTGGGCTAGAAATGTGGTCTTCTCACAACCACTGGCCTAATGTAATGTGAATTGTTAAAAGCATGTACTTGCCACCTTATATACTCTTGAAAGTCTTCTTGAAATTCCCATGTTGTGGTTTAAACGTACAAATAGTCATGAGGGGATTCATAAACAAGCATTAACTTTGCTTATGTCAATGCCGCTCCCTAACAATAAAACAATTACACATAGTGACGTACACATGAACTGGGTGCAAAACATAATGGCAATCTACAAGGACATGGAAACGCATTATACTCATGGAAACGAATAAGAGAACACCTGAAAGTACAAGTGTTCCTTCATTCCTTTGCAGAATTTCACCCACAGTGCAATACAAAGCTTGTGAAGAAACCTGGAAAAGAATAAAGGAACACTTGTACTTTCAGGTGTTCCATCATTCGTTTCCATGAGTATATAATGTGTGACAATTTACAAAGAATCGTTGATGGCAAATGAACTCAGTTTAAAAATGTAGTAACTACTAGTATTGTCATGTCAAGATGTCAGCAAAGCACGGCATATGCAATGAAACTAGGTTAGGTAAATTGCGAGAACTTCCATATTATACTGGATAGAGCTACGCTGTTTATATGCTTTAATATTACACTATTTCCATTCTAAATATTTCAACTTTCGTACCACTGAATCTTAAAAGAAAAAAATATAAAATGTAATCGAATCATACTTTCATTATGTATGTCGATGCCATGTGGTACCATTCTTCGAACTTTCTACAATTACCAGTTTCAGACTTCTCCTCTGTTGTGTACTGCTACTATCACGAATTTACAGTGCTTTATATTGATTTGTAAACTAAGATCATTTGTTAATGTACAACATGTCTCTATTTTATGTTGGCTTCATCCTTAATTCTTGTGCGTATACTTACCAGCATATACTGAAGAAGCCAGACACCACAATGCACATGCTCGTGCCACAAGATGCATTAGCATTTCCACATTCTCTTACCAATAGGACGATGTAATGTATTTTCTCCCCTTTCAGATGAGCAATGCTGCCACTACAACAACACCATCTCGTGAGTACTGATGTCGTATATCTAATTTGTGTTAGGCTTCTAACTAATAATGTCATTTTCACGTCTAAAAGTTATGACAATAACTATGGTCTACTGTAATTGAAGGGTTTAACTATTATTGCTTGAGTTCAGAACGTGTGTATGTTGCATATACGTCGAATGTTTCATGCATGTGTACTCAGATGGTCGTGTAGCACGGCAACTGTGTTAATATATTAGGTATATCCTCTCATCATTCACATGGCTATGTACCAATTCCAAATATACCCACAACAGGAACATTGACTCATGTGTGTACCACATCATCACGCAAAAATATCTAAAATCTGTGTCAATTAACTATCGCTGTCAGTCTACTATCAACGTCAACTCTTGCAGTCACTGCAGTTGTCTTCACGTCGACCTTCTCCTTTCTGCTGTTACAAAATCTTCCTGCTGTATTTGTAGGTGTTCAGTAACCGAACTTCCTTTCACAGCTATCATTCATATGCTACCTGGCCTTGGAGGCATGGTCTTATTTCAAACCGAGGAGAATTTCAATATTTACTCTGTATTTTAATCCTCTTTCAGAAAAAGATTGATATATTAGTGTGTATCAGAACTCTGTAAAGTGAAATACATTGTATTTCTGTATATACTTAACATTAAGTATTACTTAACATTTTAGTACACTAGCTTCTACCCTGCGTTAAATTATATAGATGAGAAAGTACTAATGTTTTATAAAATATAACTGCTTTGTAACTTGATTATTCTGCAGTAACTTTCACTGATACATAGTCCTATGTTCAACGTTTAAGATTACACTGGATATAGCATAGCGTTATGTGAAATAGCTGTCTTTTAGTGGCGGAATAGAACATGCTCGACTGCTCCTCAAAAGTGACAAGAAAGAAATGATTATGCTATAGGTAAGGCGGTCTCTCTGATCGTCTCCAAATCCATTCTTGGCATAAATGTGTTGTAACAACATAATTATGAAACAGGATCGCTTCCAAATACCTTCTCGCCTAAATGTGTTGTAACAATATATAGTCATCATGTTCCGTGATACATACTCCGCTGATCAAGCAATGAAGTTTTTCTTAATGCTGTTAAAGTGGACTGCAAATATTCACGCACTTCCTTTGTGTTTTCGAAAATCAACAAGGTATATTTTTGTCTAGTATACTTGTTTTGAGTATAGAGATCGCCATTTCTTGATTGAAGGATTATGCTTATTAATCCTTGAGTCAGTGATTTCATGGTACTCTACCTTGACCCACTTATATATCTCTCTTTGTAGTGACTTTTATGGAGCTTAGGGGACCCCTTACGAAATAAAAATGGACCTGTATTATGTTTTGAAGTTAGATATTCATGGCTCATTTATAGTAGGTTTATACTTCAGTTAACATCTCAGTCCTATGTGAGGCATTATTTGATTAAACATTAATATATATTCACTTCATGTAATGTCTATGTTCTGTGAGGAATGTTTTTAGTGGGAACAAACTACAAACTCTTTATGTAAGTCAGTCAGAATTTGAATGAGTGTTATCTTGCCGGTTATTTAATTCTGCCCTGGGTAGGGAATCCTCTGTCGTCCCCGTTCAAGGATCTGGTATAGGCGACTCTCCTATCTTGCATGAAGATCCTTTTTTTTCAGAGATATGTGACATAAGTAATAAGGATGGGTACGGGAGAAATAGATTAGAACTGAAAAAGTTTACTTGAAGATAGTTAGAAGGATGGTTAAGATGTAAAATGTAGTTGTGTGAAGTGTTGGTGATCGCGTTTTGTGGCAATTTATAGTTGTTTAATGTGACGCTTAACTGGCTTCATTCACAGTATCACAGTTATCGCTTTACAGCAAGAGAGGTAGACATTTATGTTTGAAGCACTATACACTTAATATAAACACTTATTGACAAGGTAACATACCGAAGGTACAGACGTCAAGGAGAACGCTTTTGAGATGTTTGGTTGAAGTGTTATGGTATGAACACCCTTGCTGCAAATGCAGAAACAGAACGTCACAATTCAGCATTATAAGGCCCACACACAAGTTACACGTGATGAAAGAGATGTTTTGAGGCAGCAGTCCCTGCAAGTCTTCTATACTGCCATGACTGGAATAAAATAGGACAACGACTGCAACAGGATCAGAAAGAGTGATACTTATGAATGTAAAACCTCTTCGGGAATTTTAATTTGCAGTGACACATTTATCTTGAATATACAGTTCATTCTGGCGTAAAATCCCAGTTTATCGTTTAAATGTTTTAAGTTAGTTTTAAGAAAGAATTCTGTGATCCTACCTAAATGTGTTTAAAAAAGGTAAACATCATCCTGACAACATCGAAGCAACTATGTGAGCAACAAAAGAAGGGGATATATACTGTCAAGTGTATCTGGCTGTCATGATATTCACGAGTATGCAAAACTTGATTTATATAGCACTGAATACTCATGTTCAATTTCAGAAGTGGGGGCGGAGGGGTAGCCTAGTGGTTAAAGCGTTGGCTCGTCACGTTGTCTGACGCCCCTCCCGTTTTGTCCCCGTTTCACGATGTTTCGTGTAACCCCAGCATTACTGTCTTCACTAATTGTCTTGATACAACTGCTGTACTGCCATGTCCAGTTGCTGCAGGCATCTCCCCTCTCATTACATACCTGGAATGAAATGTTATAACGCCTCCAACATGATCAGAAAGATTCGGTAACGCTAGATCATTTGGGGCAATTCCTTATGAATAGTTGCAGCAGCATCCTCAATTCTGTTTTCCAGCATCTGCACCACCCAATCCTTGCTTGTATCAACAGCCATCCTGCGAACATTAAGCGAAGTGATTCCTTACAGTCTTGAGTAATTGTACATAATTGTGTAGGTTTCTGCAGGTATCTCCCACGGGACATTTCTGAAATGAACTGCTACAATGTCTACAACAGGGTAAAACAGAGTCAGTAACGCTGTTCAGTTGGGGCAATCTTTGATGAATATTTTAAGCATCATCCTCAATTCTGTTTTTTACATCATCTGCACCATCCCGTTCTTGCTTGAAGGCTTCTATCAACGCCAATAGTGGTCACAACCAATATGACTAGCATTAATTTTGTTGTTAGATCAACCCCGCCCTCTTGATACTAAGTATGGGTTTTGCCAATTATTTTTTATGATGAAGCATTGGTGAGACGAATTTTGGATGAGCAAAACATCAAGCACATTATGACGATATGTACAGACATATATTTTGTGTTTATTCTGTTGTTGTTCTTTAAAAAATGTTTTGTTCCTGTTACATCAGTTATTTTTAAGAGTTTAAGTGAATAATTATCATGATACAGTAAACAGTAGTTTTGCATCTCAGATGAATTCCTTAATGCTCTCGGGAAAGAATCAAATGATTAATGACTAGTAATTTACATAATCATTATTATACTTTTGCCAACGTGACGTTTCTAGTATCAAACTCAGTTCATGTTTTCTATATCTGCACATTGACATGTTCCAATATATTATTTGTAACACGACTGACCCGTGTAAATAGTAATAAACCTCAGTCTACTGTCAGAATGCATACAAATCAATAAGTCTATGACATACTGAAATGGGCAGTTAAATTTTAGCAATATGCCAGCAATATTCACGGCGGGGACATCAGAAATGGCTTCACACATTGTGCCCATGTGGGGAATCGTACCCGGGTCTTAGCCGTGATGAGCGAACTACAAGGATACCCCGCCGCCCCAGTGTTTCAACGGGTACCCAAAACTTACAATATAGCTGTTGACTGTAGAGCAGAAACGTATGGTGCTTCAAAAACCATTCAGGACTGAACAGTGTGAAACCAAGCATTTATTGTCTTAAATATTCATGCTAATATGTGATAAGAACATGCCAAGTCAGGTTCACAACGCTCTGAATAATATCTTTTATTCTTACCCTCAACTGTACGTTTACCAATATGCCTTCTGCTGGAAAGGATACAATATATCATGGTTCAAATATGTGATAGAGATTTGATTATACATATATAATTCGACTGAGTCTCGCAGATTGACGGGAAAATCACATGAACTTTTCTTCCACATCTTTCAATTGCAAAACAAACAGTACTGTTTGAAGACAAAATTATCATGTTTGTTACAAACTCACTCAATGTTACTATTCAGTTTATCCTAGGTTGCCAAAAGGAAATATTCAAACTCATACCGCGAGGATATTTCTGAGTAATATCTGAATTAATAGTTCTATGTTGTATAGTACTTGTGTTTGCTGACAAGGGCTGTCACAATTTCCCTACTTGCCATACTTTGTGCTGTATGTAATGGTACATTCCAGAACAAGTCTTCGGTGATGTATGTACCGAGACATCCCAGTGTGACACAACCTCAGACTTCAACATCGTGTGTATTCAAGCTGGACCAGACAAGAAGTGCCTCTGTACTGATGGATGGTATAGGCCAGGTACAAGCACAACACCTTGCGCTCAAAGTAAGCATTAAATACTTAACTATTTAGCTTTTAAATGGTCACAAAAACACCCACAAACTATTTTCCAAATTTACAGTTGATTCATCCTCTCTGATCACTTGATTGAACGGAGCATTTTGGAAGCTAAAGCGTTACCCTCTGAATTGTGGATATACGAACAGCCGCCAAGTCATTGATAATATTGGTTGTGAGAAAATTCATGAAAATGGAACAATATAATAGATGAAAGTGATAAGTTTTCGTAAGACACGATTCTGGATTTAAACACATTCCTGTTTCGTAAATTTAATTTGTGCCTCAGTTAAAATTATGAAAGAAGTACACATACCTCGGGTCCATATAATATTTTCTCAGAGTTTCTCAGAATGAGCGAACATATGTCCACAATAACTTTCCCCGTCGAGACATATGGTTTAAACGTATTTTCATTCACCAGTACAAATATTACACAAATAGAACACACAGGAACTAAAGAAAAGAGACAGAATGAAATAAACTAAAATCATACCATGGTATGTGTATTGGAAATTCTAATTATCAACGCTCTTGCAGTTACTTTTCATTACTTTTTGTTAAGGTAATTGTTATGTATTATTTGGTTTAGACTGTTTTTTTCAAATCGTTTAGTCTCGCAAATGAATTGGTGTAGGGACTCTATAATATTCCTATGTTCATCGTTAGCGGTGTTCCGTATAACACTGTTTGTTTGAAGGCTGTGGCCATTTTCATAAAAGTATGCATTATTTCTAACGGCAGTATATAATTTACATGTAAGGACTGATTGAGTTTGGTGTTACGCCGCTTTTAGCAATATTTCAGCAACATCACGACGGGGCATGTAAGGGGAAAATGAATAACATTTTCATTGAGGTATCAACAAGCGCATTCAGCATTAGTTGATATATGTCTGTTGACTTTATCCACGTTTAAATCACTGCAGCCGGGCTTGAGACGACTGTGTATAATCTGACAAAATCGACTGCCATAATTCAGGTCAAGATAGTCATTGGATTCATAATTTATTTTAAATTCGCCTATTGTATTAGCATTCGCCACGTCGTCAGGTAACGAATTCCACATTTTTATTGTGTCTGGTAGGAATGATTTTTCATATGTTTTTGTCCTACAGTTCATTGTTTGTAACTTGGGATTTCTTCTGAGATTGTATTGACTATTGTCAGAGACAGTTTTAGATACAAGGTCACATAAGTAGCCTGTGGCGAAATTTGTTATTCATTTTGTAGAAGTTAGACCTGTTCACAATTAGATCTATTCACAATCACTTTCTTTCATGGGAACACCGTTTACTAATGACATTTACACAAGTAAACCAAACGTGCATTTCTATCGGTTATTTTATAGACTTATATTGTTTGTAATTAGATTGATGAATAATATTATACTTTGTTGGTTTAAACATATCTATTTCATGAAAAATGCATGAACTGGATTTGTCAACAAGTTCAAAAAGAACTTATATGAAACCTGTTCCCCGCATAAATAAATAAAACATTAACATGACAAGGAAACAACACAGAAAATATCAAATTAAAATTGATGTCATGACGTGTAGTCGAAAGATTCAGCACATTGGGGTTAGATACATTTACGACATTTGCAGTCGGCATCACTAGTAGTATAGTTTTAAGAGTTACGATTTATAACAGATGATTTGCTTAGTCAAAACGTCTAGTTTCCATTATAAATTGATGAATAGATTTTAATATATGAGACTGAGTTGCACGGTCAATGGAAGAAGTTCCATATAGGATTGTTTCTAATGAAAAGCCATTAATAAAATTCATTTGCTCTTATTGAATCAAATCTGGAAAAAACACAATCTGCTCTTTATGATATATGTCTCTTGAGTTTGTCAGCGTTTAGATCGCTACATCCTACCTTAAGCGACAGTGAAGGATTTCATAACTTCTTGAACCTATATTTGGGTCGAAATGAATATTTGTACCTCTGGAATTTAAGGCAGATTTGAAGCCGTCGAGGTCTGTAAGTGATTTAATATTTTGCGTTAAAGCATTTTGTTTTGCATTAGTTGTAATTAATTTTTTAAAGAGTGGATGGAACGAACGATAAATTGACAGATTGAATTGTTTATTTTGTCAACTAGCAAAACGTTACAACACAATAATATGTGATATCAAAATTCGTTTGTTTTAGCCAGCCAGCCATTTGCGTGAATATCTGAAACCACGTATGAAACTAATATGCCAGGGACGAATCATCACTGTTCTAAGGCACAGATTTGTAATCCTTTATGACCAATGATGCTGTTGAGGATAATTATGCACACTATTAGTTTTAGGCTTCTACTTATCAGTGTTAATATGTATGCTTTCAGCAACCGTTTTAAAACCAGTCATCACAGGTACACCAGCTATAGGAGCAGGTAATATTGCCATCAGCTGGACCAATACCGATGTCACTGGAGGGTACACATCCAGCTATACCGTAACGTGGTCTCCAGGATCTCCAGGATCTGCCAGTACAACCCAGAAGAGCTACAACATTCAGTCCCTGTCTCTAGGAACAACATACATTGTCACAGTTAAACATATCATCACACAGCACGGCAGGAGGCAGACGATTTCCTCGGACCCAAGGGCATTTACAACGAGAAGTACCTCAGTTTAATGTATTCAATCGTACAGACATCAGTTTTATCCCACCAACACATAAATAGTCATTTTTGTTTTCAAATCCTGTCGCTTAATAAGTCATTATTTTGGCTTTATTCACAGCTAAATTATTTACAATATAAATTGTCTGTGACTAATATGGTCCAAAAGAGTCTATCGAGTCTAGTTGGATCATTTTTTAGTAAATTGATTGCCATGACAAACAAAAGACAATGAAAACAGCTACTTGTTTTTGTGTGTTAAGATGTAACGTGGATGGTATAAGCCTGTCCCAGGAACTATTACCTCTCCCTGACATCTTCCGATTGCACAACAAACAGTACTGTTTGAAGACAAATGTTTGTTACAAACTCACTCAATGCTACTCTTCAGTATATCCAAGGTTGCCAAAAGGAAATGTTCAAACTCATATTCAAACTCATACCGCGATACACAATCTTCTCTCACTCTCTTTCGTGCCTTCAGGCTATTAAAAACTTATGTTGTAAACATCCACTTCTTATAGAAATGATTGAATTATATAATGATCCAGCTACTGACCAATACGACATCGTACTTTGCTGGTTACCCAGCCATGTTGGAATTTCCTGTAGCACAGCACACGCTAAGGCAGCACTCAACAAATATGTGACACCACTTCTTATCCCATACTCCGATCTGATCTGATGCAAAAGAAGTGTCACACCCAAGTAGGCATCAATACATTACATCAAATAAAAACAACTATCGGTTACACCTACTTCGGTTGTCAATCCAGATTTAAAGAAGTCATCATGCGACGATGTTGTATTGGCCACAGCAGGTATATGCATGAATATATATTGAAAGGTGAGGATCCTCCGTTTGGTATCCCTTGAGATGAACGAATCGCGGTCCAGCATGTCCTGCTTGACTGCAATAAGTTTTCCATCACAACGGATAGATATTTCAATGTCAAAACAGAAATGGATCTTTTCAATGTTACTTATCATTTAAATATTGCATTTTTAAAAGAAATAGAATTGTTGCAAACATTTTGACAAACATGTTGTAAATAGATAAATGTTTTATAATATGTAATTTAGATTATCAACTGAGATTGTCAGTGGCTGTATCCTAAAGGGGGTTAAAGTACTGTAAAATTATTGTCCTGAGATGATACGTAAGTCCCAGAACATTCAAAGTGATTTTAATTCTTCCACATTCTTTAATCGTAGGATATATGTTACTTGAACTTGTGGTTAGATTTTTTTTAACAATCGCTAACATCTGAAGTGATGGTGTAAATCCAGTAGGTTCCCCAGGCACTGTAAATCCCCGTGGACCCAACTTCAGTTGTTGGCAATCTGCAACCCATTTTATATTATATTGTCCTAATTTGAAATCCAATTTTAGAGAGCGATGCTAGTTTTAATTCTTGATAGTGTGATATTAGGGTTGTCTTCACTGTCCTTCGTTGAAAGTTTTTTCTTACCAAATTTAATTGCGTTTATGCCAATGTGTCTATAAATTGTATCTCACTCACCAATACCGCTGAGTATTATTTCTGAGTAGTATCTGAATTTCTTAGTTCTATGTTGTATAGTACTTGTTTTTGCTGACAAGTCATATCACAATTTCCTTAATTGCCATACTTTGTGCTTTATGTAATAGTACATTCCAGGACAAGTCTTCGGCGATGTATGTACTGAGACATCCCAGTGTGACACAACCTCAGACTTCAACATAGTGTGTATACAAGCTGGACCAGACAAGAAGTGCCTCTGTAAGGATGGATGGTATAGGCCAAATGCAAGTCCAACATCTTGCGCTCAAAGTAAGCATTAAATACTTAGCTATTTAGCTTTTAAATAGTCACAAAACCACCCACAGAATATTTTTCAAATTTACAGTATTCATCCTCTCTGATCACTTGATTGAGCTGAGCTTCTTGGAAGTTAAAGAGTTACGCTCTTGTAATGTGAATCGTGGATATTGTTACAGTTAATAAATTTGCCGTGACAAAAAGGTTTAAGAGTTCCCTTTGAACCAGCAAAATAGAACACAGACAAGTCTCAAATATTCAACAGCAAGCTACACTGAATGATGATACAGATATCTAGTACAATGCAACTGAGTCACAAATATAAAATATTAACTCACCAGAGGCTCGACATTCACGCTGAGAACAGATATACTGATTGAAGGTTGTTTACAATGACATTAGTTGAATTGACAAGTACGGTCTTGAAATGTTGACAGACACACATCTGTCAACCGTCGACAAGTCTATCAGCTCGTTTACGGCTGACAGATGTGTATAACTCCAGTCATGTAATACGTCCGTGCTGCACAAGTCAACAGCCAGCCTTTATATAGCTCTTACACAGGCTGCATCATTATTCTCTCAGAACGTTATGGAATTATGTGGAACAGTCGGCATGATGAAAGCCGTAAATAAACAAGATTGCCAAGGGAGGCAACTCTGAACCGCTATCAAAAAGGCCTACCGCTAAAAATACTTTTGTCATTGAACATATATGATGCGAGATGCGAGCCACAACCCACACTCAAAACATTGTGACCCAATTATAACTATCACGTAATCAATGTGATATTACAAATGACAAAAAACACATTCTCATAACAATATTCAAACAGCCGCCAAGTCATTGATAATATTGGTTGTGAGAAAATTCATGAAAATGGAACAATGTCATAGATGAAAGTGATATGTTTTCATCAGAAACGATTCTGAATTTAAACAAATTCTTGTTCCGTAGAATTAATTCCTGCGTCAGTTAAAATTATAAAAGGAGTACACACACCTCAGGTCCATGTACTATTTTCTTAAATTCCTAACCGCTTATCTTGAATTATATTTCCCAGTTTGAGCGTACATATTTCCACAACAACTTTCCCCGTCGAGACATTCTGCTAGGACTTCGGTAATATCGCTTTGCCATTCCTTATGTTAAATCGTGAGTTGTGAAAGAATTCTTAAACACTACTTAAAGGAATATAATTACCATATTCTAGTACTGAGCGCACATATAACGTGTATCCAATCTTACAGTTTGCTACAATGTCACACTGCTGAAGTCCTGTTGATGGATTCCTAAACTGTTTTGATTGTTCTGCTCTGAAGGTTATGGACGTTCGTTGCAGGTTCATCGAACACCTTCATGCTTCAACATGTTACTCTGTCTCAAAAAAATCATAGATGGTGTTTGGAAAAAGGGTTTAAAGGTCACATGCAACGTAAAACACAACTTTGCAGATTCTGATACCTTTCGGTATGGACATACCGAAACAAATCGTCAAAAATGCAAATTCAACTTATAAAGTTGAAAAATAACGCGATGAAAAAAACCCGCGCGAAATCGGAGTTCAAACGTTTCACTAATTTTCCCCAGACTTTTCTGGGGAACACGGGTTTCAACAGCTGGGCTGCGCTCATAGCACGTGCGCAAGTAAATCGGTTCGCACAGCTTGGAAGCGGGTTGTCGGGTGAATTCTCGGTGAAGGCTTTGGTGTGAGCTATTTTTCTAATGTTTTGTTGATATCCCACAGGCGCGAGCTTTTTATATGTTATGACAGTAAATTAACTGTTTATATAATTTCATTTGTCTATTTCACCACAAGTTCTTCTTACCGAGGCACTTTCTCAGTTCGATACTTAAAAGCAATGTCATTATTTAGCGTTGACAGAATTTCTAACTGTGATATAGATATGTCGTTGTCACAGACAAAAATCAATGTCTTGTTTTATTGACACCTGTGTGTCTGCCTGCCTGTCTGCTAATGACAATATTCAATACACAGCTGCTATCACTGACCACATGCAATTTGAACTTAACACCAATCAGGCTATACACCATAAACAATATGCATTGATTTATGGCTCGAGTTCGGTCTCTGTCACATTATGTAATTACACAGACAGGCAGGTGTGATACTTGAACACATGACATGTTATGATGTCGGTTGATTGCAAAATGTTATACACAAAAAATGAGCATGTATTTACAAAACCCAACATCTCTCTATATACATACACATAATTAGCCGTGAAGGCATCTGCAAATGAACCAGACGTTACACTTGAGTGCACACCCACCCGCTCTGACTGGGTTCGGGATCCCGGCTGTTTCGTTTCTTTGGAAGTAAACCGAAGTACACAATATTGCACTGTTGATTTGCGATTGTACGCTTGTAATTTTGTTTATATATTTTTTCGTAACCAGCAATGTATATTATATGTCATGAATAATTGATAATTGTGTTCTAATTATGTTTGATTTTTTGGTTGCATGTGACCTTTAAATTTTCTAAATCCAAAACCAATTGTATACATTTTTGTAGGAAATACAAACCACATAAAGACCCCTGAAGGCACACGACTTGTTAAAAGTTGTTTCTAATTCAAAGTGGGGAGGGGACCAAACTACCCTTGGTCCGATCGAAACTTGACTACGGCTCCATCGTATATGATGGGGCCTGCAAACGCAACCTAAAACTATTAGATTCTGTTCATCACCAAGCTCTGAGACTTTGCCTTGAATCTTTCAGAACCTCTCCCATTGCCAGTCTATACGTTGAGGCCAATGAGCCATATCGCCGTATCAAATTGTCTTTACAATATATCACAAAGTTATATTCTAATGAATCCAATCCTGCTCACAACTGCGTTTTCAATCCTCTTTATGAGGATTTGTATAATAAAAAAACTTCACTTGTTCCACCTCTTAGGATAAGAATCCAACAATATATTTCTGCCCCTGGCATTAAGTTAAAGAATATTTCTTCTTCCCGTCTTCTTTCTTCTCCTCCTTGGCAATTAGTGAGGCCACAAGTTGACCTAACACTGACAAAGTTAAAAAATTCAGAAACTAACGAATTACAATATAAACAAGAATATAAGTATGGTGATCTACCTCCGGTTGTTGGTGATCTATATCCCGTGTTTATTTTGTACTGTCTGTAGTGATTTAAGTTTACGATAGCGTACTAGTTTTAAATTTATAGCTGTGATACTCTAGTATTTTTACTGTCCTTCGATGTTCTAACTTTACTGATTTTCATATTGATATAAACTAGATTGTTCTTGTCACGATATGGCTGAAATATTGCCGATGTGACGCTAAATAATGACTCACTTACTCACTCAAGATGTTATTCAAGAATATCCAAATGGTATAATGCCACATGCCTGCCTATTCCCTTAGACAATCAAAAGAATTCTGCATCTTATGAAACATTTGTGTCAGTTGGTGTATTCGTGCGCAAATGTGTCTGCTTTGAAGAATTGTTTCTATATTTTTATGAAATACTGAAAATATAGTAGCAATTATTGGTCAGTATTTCTCATTAGGTCCATGACACTTCTGTACATGTAATTAGGTTGCAACAATGCTGAGGTATTCATTAGAGGAGGGACAGAGGGGTTGTCTTCAGGTTAAAACAGTCACTCGTCAGGCCAGTCGCTGAGGTTTACCACACTTGTTGGTATATTGTGTAAAGCGGATATACTGTATTTTCATCATTGATTCAAACATGGTTTGACCAATGTTGATAAACAGAAGTTGGAAATGTGGAAACAAAGATACTACTATTCGAGCATTGAGCGCAGATTTGTAATCCTTTATAACCAATAATCCTGTTGAAGATAATTATCGATATTATTAGTTTTAGACTTTCACTGAACAGTGTTAATATGTATGCTTTCAGCAACCGATCTACAACTAGTCATCACAGGTACACCCACTATAGGAACAGGTAATATTGCCATCAGCTGGACCAATACCGATGTCACTGGAGGATACACATCCAGCTATACCGTAACGTGGTCTCCAGGATCTCCAGGATCTGCCAGTACAACCCAGAAGAGCTACAACATCCAGTATCTGTCTCCAGCAACAACATACACTGTCACAGTTGGTCTTATCATCACACAGCACGACAGGAGTCAGCTGATCACCTCGGACCGGAGGACATTAACAACAACAAGTACCTAAGTTTGATGCATTTCAGTCGAACGGCCATCAGTTTATCCCACCAGGACATAAATAGTCAAGTTTTGTATTTACAATGTCATAAATTGATGTCATTATTTTAGCTTTATTCATAGCTAAATTCTTTATAGCATACATTGTTTGTGACTACTCTGGCCCAAAAGAGTCTTTTGAGTCTTGTGGGATCATTTCTTAGTTAATTGATTGCCATGACAAACAACAGACAAAGATAACAGATGCTTGTTTTGTGTGATAGGATCTATCGCGTATAGTACAAGACTGTCCCTGGACTTTGCTTGCTTTATTATGATAATTGCCAGGAAATATTACTTCTCTCTGACATCATTCAGTTGCACAAGAAACAACACCGTTTGAAGATAAATGTTTGTTACAAATTCACTCAATGTTACTCTTCAGTATATGCCAGGTTGCCAAAAGGAAATGTTCAAACTCATATTCAAACTCAAGAATATTTCTGAGTAATATGTGAATGTCTTAGTTCTATGTTGCATAGTACTTGCCATACTTAGAGCTGTATGTAATGATACATTTCAGGACAAGTCTTCGGTGATGTATGTACTGAGACATTCCAGTGTGACACAACCTCAGATTTCAACATCGTGTGTATTCAAGCTGGACCAGACAAGAAGTGCCTCTGTAAGGATGGGTGGTATCGGCCAAATACAAGTCCAACATCTTGCACTCAAAGTAAGCATTAAATAGTTAGCTATTTAGCCTTAAAATAGTCACAAAACACCCACAAACTATTTTCCAAATTTACAGTCGATTCATCATGTGTGATCACTTGATTGAGTTGGGCTTATTGTAAGCTAAAGAGTTACTCTCTTACTGTGTGAATTGTGGATATACGAACAGCCGCTTAATCATTGATAAGATTGATTGTGAGAAAATTGATGAAAATGGAACAATGTGATGGATGAAAGTGATAAGTTTTTCTTAGAAACGCCATTGCTCTTCCGTAAACTATCTGTGCGTCAGTTAAACTTTTGAAAGGAGTACACAAACCTAGCTCAGGATCATAAAATATGTTATTAAATTCCAAGCCACTTATGTAGATTTATAGTTCCCAGTTTGAGCGTACGTATTTCAACAACAACTGTCACCGTCGAGACATTCCGCTAGGAGGTCGGTTATATCGCTTTGCGAATCCTTATATTAAATCTTGAGTTAGGAAAGAATACTTAAACACTACTTAAAAGAATGTCATTTCTATATTCTAATATTGAGCACAGATAAGTAATCCTTTATAACCAAGAATCCTATTGAGGATAATTATCGATGCTATTAGTTTTAATCCTTCACTTATCAGTGTTAATATGTATGCTTTCAGCAACCGATCTACAACTAGTCTTCACAGGTACACCCACTATAGGAGCAGGTAATATTGCCATCAGCTGGACCAATACCGATGCCACTGGAGGATACACATCCAGCTATACCGTAACGTGGTCTCCAGGATCTCCAGGATCTGCCAGTACAACCCAGAAGAGCTACAACATCCAGTATCTGTCTCCAGCAACAACATACACTGTCACAGTTGGACTTATCATCACACAGCACGGCAGGAGTCAGCTGATCACCTCGGACCGGAGGACATTAACAACAACAAGTACCTAAGTTTGATGCATTTCAGTCGAACAGCCATCAGTTTATCCCACCAAGACATAAATAGTCAAGTTTTGTATTTACAATGTCATAAATTGATGTCATTATTTTAGCTTTATTCATAGCTAAATTCTTTATAGCATACATTGTTTGTGACTACTCTGGCCCAAAAGAGTCTTTTGAGTTTTGTGGGATCATTTCTTAGTTAATTGATTGCCATGACAAACAATAGACAATGATAACAGATGTTTGTTTTGTGCGTTAGGATCTATCGCGTCTAGTACAAGACTGTCCCTGGACTTTGCTTGCTTTATTATGATAATTGCCAGGAAATATTACTTCTCTCTGACATCATTCAGTTGCACAAGAAACAACACTGTTTGAAGATAAATGTTTGTTACAAATTCACTCAATGTTACTCTTCAGTATATGCCAGGTTGCCAAAAGGAAATGTTCAAACTCATATTCAAACTCATGAATATTTCTAAGTAATATGTGAATGTCTTAGTTCTATGTTGCATAGTACTTTTATTGCTGACAAGGCATATTACAATGACCCTATTTGCCATACTTTGTGCTGTATGTAATGATACATTTCAGGACAAGTCTTCGGTGATGTATGTACTGAGACGTCCCAGTGTGACACAACCTCAGACTTCAACATAGAGTGTATTCAAACTGGAACAGACAAGAAGTGCCTCTGTAAGGATGGATGGTACAGGCCAAATGCAAGTCCAACATCTTGCACTCAAAGTAAGCATTAAATAGTTAGCTATTTAGCCTTTAAATAGTCACAAAACACCCACAAACTATTTTCCAAATTTACAGTCGATTCATCATCTGTGATCACTTGATTGAGTTGAGCTTATTGGAAGCTAAAGAGTTACTCTCTTCTTATGTGATTTGTGGATATACGAACAGCCGCCTAATCATTGATAATATTGGTTGTGAGAAAGTTGATGAAAATGGAACAATGTGATGGATGAAAGTGATAGGTTTTCTCAGAAACGCCATTGCTCTTCCGTAAATTATTTCTACGTCAGTGAAAGTTATGAAAGGAGTACACAAACCTCAGGATCATAAAATATGTTATTAAATTCCAAGCCGCTTATTCAGAATTGTGGTTCCCACTTTGAGCATATGTTTTTCAACAACTTTCCCCGTCGAGATATTCCGCTAGGATGTCGGTTATATCGCTTTGCGAATCCTTATGTTAAATCTTGAGTTGGGAAATAATTTTTAACACTACTTAGAAGAATGTCATTACCATATTCTAGCATTGAGCGCAGATTTGTAATCCTTTATAACCAATAATCCTGTTGAAGATAATTATCGATATTATTAGTTTTAGGCTTTCACTAAACAGTGTAAATATGTATGCTTTCAGCAACCGATATAAAGCCAGTCATCACAGATCCACCAACTATAGGAGCAGGTAATATTGCCATCAGCTGGACCAATACCGATGTCACTGGAGGATACACATCCAGCTATACCGTAACGTGGTCTCCAGGATCTCCAGGATCTGCCAGTACAACCCAGAAGAGCTACAACATCCAGTATCTGTCTCCAGCAACAACATACACTGTCACAGTTGGACTTATCATCACACAGCACGGCAGGAGTCAGCTGATCACCTCGGACGAAAGGACATTTACAACAACAAGAAGAACAACAAGTACCTGAGTTTGATGCATTTCAGTCGTACAGCCATCAGTACACCAAGACATAAATAGTCATTTTTGTATTCACAACCTGTCATTAAGTCATTATTTTTGCTTTATTTATAACTAAATTATTTATAGCATTTTTCTTCATAAACATCATGTGATGAACTTATTTCCAAGCTCAGATTATTTAATATACTTCATGTTATCACGTAACATGTATTACAGGTTATGATCCCAGACTTACACCCCAATCTTTGATTTCAGGGATTGACTACAATGAAACCTGCACACAACCTGGTTTGTGTTACGGTTCCTATACCAACTGTTACAGTGGTAGATGTCGCTGTGATCAGGGATACTACCGAACCACAGGCTGTGTCAGCGGTGAGTGGTTAATGTGGATGTCTATCTTGCCTTACATGATGATTTTTGGATTCGGACTTTCACATTTCTAATTCCTTACAGTAGTATCCTTACCGATTTTGACGGAAGCATGCATGCATAAGTCGCACCTGCAATATACAGCTAGGTAAGATAAATGCATTGTCCACCGATCATTCCGGCGACATGGGGTGGTGTACCCTCCATGTTGACCTGTGGATAAGTTATTATTGTTCATGTATATTCTTCAAACCCTTTAGGGTCATGGTCCCGAAATGGGTATTTCAGGCTCGCACTTCAACATATTTCCGGTGATGTCATTTTATTGCACATGATCGGAAGTCTCTCTTTTTGTCTCTCTGAGCAATGTCAGTCGGTACTTACATCAACTTGCATTGCAATTTTCTGGACGTACCTGAACATGAACAAGATATATAGGAGTAAACCCTATCCAACTGAGCTCCGTCGGAGCATCATACGAAATAATAGTCACGACTCCAGACATTGTCACGCCATCGAACTGAAATACTAGGGCCGTTTGAATACGTTTTAACCCTTATAATGATTGAATCGTGCAATAGCGTTTTGTTGTTGTAGATATCACATGTAACATCAGCAACTAGATCTATTTGTCAAACGTCACTGACTGCTTATTGTGCTGTATTGTAACAACTACACAATTTGTTTGATTGTCTCCATTACACAAGTTTATATCTGTATGAAATGGGCATAAGGAATCTTACCGATGCTGATGAGAATGGTATACTTTGTATTATATATGGTCCATCATGCATGAAATGTCCCACCTTCATGACTACGTGTGACAATTCTGAAAACATGCATGTCTAGGAGTCTCCCCTGCTGAATCTACGGTGATGGAATCCATGAAGTTCCTGTTCATGAAATATATTTTCCTGTATTGATGGATTCGTTTCTGTTCATGTCAATTCAGTCAACCAACTTCGTCCTACCACTGTGACGGCCATCGTACAAAGCACAACCACCATGACAGCATCCTGGACAGCTCCTTCTAACGCCGTCGTTACCGAGTACGAGGTCACGGTTATACCAGGGGACATTACTCCGCTCAGTGTCGGCAGAGACAGCAGGACCACGCCCATCACAGGTCTGACGCCAGGGAGAGAATACACCATAAACGTGAAGACAAAGATTACCTACCTGCCAGGACGAGATGAGATGACTGATGCTGTATCTGCAGCACCAAAGCGAACAAGTACTGGACACTTAGCAGTTCTTCTGTTCAATTGTAGTTGGTTGTAAATAATGACATTATATAACCAAATCTCCCTGCAACAACATAAAAGTAATGCTATTCGCTAATGTTTCACATTCAAATTGTTATTGACCACAGATAAACACGAATGTAGCAAACCACAAACTGAAAATATCACCACAACTATCAAGCAATGAACACAAAACACAATCATGTTTCGAGTCATGTCATAATGCCCACTTATGCATGCCGTGACGTGAAGTTTGCACAAGTATGAAACTGGCTTTATAAGAAAGGTATTACAATTACAAAGCATGTATAAAAGCAATGAAGGAAACAAAATAACTATCTCAGCCCGATCTAAACCACAAGACGGATTTTCTTCTCACAAAGTGGGAAAGATACCAAAAGTAAAGTACTGAAAGATAACAGGATCCTGTTTCCATTTGAGTTGCACCGATGGCGGTCACATAATGAGTGAGTGAGTGACTGAGTGAGTTTAGTTTTGCGCCGCACTCAGCAATATTCCAGCTATATGGCGGACTGTCAATAATCGATTCTGGACCAGGGCTCCGTTTCACAAAGCTCTCGTAAGCCCAAGATCTCGTAGCATTCGTGCCTTCTATACAGTAACATATGAGGTACTAATGCTACGAGAAAAGTTACGAGATCTTAGGCTTACGAGAGCGTTGTGAAACGGGGCCCAGACAATTCAGTGATCAACAGCATGATCATTGATCTACGCAATTGGGATACGATGGCATGTGTCAACCAAGTCAGCGAGCCTGACCACCCGATCCATTTAGTCGCCTCTTACGACAAGCATTACTGTAGATCAATTCTAACACGGATCTTCACGGGACGGTCACATGATGAATGCAAATGTCAAGGAATTATAACTTACTGAAATTAATTGTTTTGACACTTGTTACCTGTTGTCAATGTTGGGATAACCAACAGAAGTACGACATTTTACGAGATGAACGGTTAACATACATATTATATAGATCTAAAGTGAACGAATGGGTGTTAAATTCGTGGTGGAGAGTAGAGATTCCTATGAGTTACGATAAGATTGTTCTAATGCGTTTGTGATATATGACGGAAAAGCATGTTCCTATTTAACGTATCTTAGAACATATTTTTATCATTATATTGAGATCCACATAAATCTTGATCTGTTTGTAACATGGATTTTTGTCATCTCTATAATAGTGACACCATGATATCACATTGGTACATCATTTCAGTGCCAGCCTCTGTCGTGGGCCTGGACATGACCAAAACCAACAGGACAGCTCCAGACATCATCGTTGTGTTCGCCAAGGCTACAGGGGATGCCACCATGTACATTGTGACACTCAGAGGACGGGATGGAGATACATACAACCAACAACATCAACCTGTCAACACTGGACAGGGTCTCATCTCTGTCGTCTTCACTGGTATTGTCCCGGCTGTATCGTACAACCTGACCATAGTAACACAGAGTGGGAACCTCCAGAGTGTACCCTATACCACTGTGATACGAGTACAGTCAACTCGTGAGTAACGTAAAACCTCAACATTTAGCATCGTAACATTTTGTCCGTGAATATGTAACAGTTCGAACTGAATATCCAATACACTTTCAAATTGTGCTTACATGTAGACCCCTATGTTATTAAACTGACTGACGTGAACAGTTCGTGTGTGTAACATTATGGTGTATTGTGATGATTGGTGTTGTTAAGGCATCTTGCCATTGATACAACATATATCAGTCACTGTTCCATCCTCCACTTCATATCATACTTTTTTAACGTTTGACACATGTATGTTTTACAATGACAAAGTGATTTATTGCAGACTATATTTAGAAAGCCTGTTTTAGAACAAACGTGTAACATTTTCAAAGACTAATCTGTATATCGTATGAAATGTTTTCTCTATACAAATCTTTGAGTACTATCAGCAGCGTATATATACACCAATAACACATTAGGAAATTGAAGCAGAATTCTGTTTCGTAAATAGCCTGGTCTATATTTTTATAATGCTGAAAGAAAGGCAGTACAAGCTGATTCTGTCTTCAGCTACCGGAAGAGTTACCAATCTGAAGTTGTTTGACAACACGTCCCGCTCTGTGGCTGTGAAATGGAGCAGACCACTCAACCCGAACGGGCAGATCTATGAATACATTGTCGATGCGATGACGGGTAGTCCTTCAGTCTGCGTAAAACGGGTCATCATCAACTGCACTGAATGTTACAGAGATATGCTTACTTTTGTAAGTATCTGATATCGAAATATCTATTCATTCGTACGTCAGCAGTCAATCACATCATAGACGCTTGTCGTACAATTCATGCAATATGTGCTCATTTAAGAATAAACCGGACTGCCTTAGTAGATCATGCATAGCGCTACGTGAAGTTTGATAGTGTGGAGCACCAGTTGCGATGGTCGTAACAGATGTATACACATGGACAAAAGCATCGCAACACCTAAACAGCCATTTATTTTCGTATCATAATTATGTTTGTTTGTGTGATTATTCTGACCTTTCGACCACACCATGCACTGATTGTAGATATGCACGTGTAATCTGTTCTTACAGGTTGATAACCTGGAAATTCCGGTAATGTCGTTATTCATAAGGAAATATTACCTCCACAACTGTTAACTGCTGAAAGATGGCAGACATTTGGTATGCGGAAGATATGCCTTTATCCGTTCATGTCATGAGGCGTGTTACGAAAGAGTAACTTCCTCATCGCCGTTAGTTCAACAAATCCGTCCGAAATCGCCTGAAATCGGCAGGGTATAGAGAGAGACGACCTATCAAATGCTCGGTTATGATACTTATGTGATTTCTAGAGGTTTGTATGCCTGATGTAAAAAACGACAACAGTTGTTAACGTCATACTTAGCGTTTCATTTTCAGACAATCATGTAGCTCTAAGAATGCGTTTTGGCTGGTCTCCGGGTGAATATCTACCCCTAGTAGAGTCCTGTTCGAAACTTCAAGATGAAATGTTTCATGATAGATATACCGTCAAATAACTATTAAGTAGGAAATACACGAAACGAATTCGACAACACAGACAACACATCAAGATTGAAAAAATTCTGATGTATCAGCTTTGTTTGTATTGTCGTTTTCACAGACAAAGATGGAGACCAAATGTGACACAACCATGACTGTGGTGATAACCCAGGCTGACATTGAAAACGCCGCCCACGTCATACAGCACAACATTACAGGCTTGAACCCAGATACATCCTACACCATAGACGTAGTAGCTGTTAATGAAGAAGGACCAGGAACAACCGGCCGAATACATATCAACACATCAATGGAAAGTGAGACAAATAGTGTAATAACATATATCTATTAGT